CGGAATGGAAGATTGCAAGGACCAATCATATGTTGTGGAGAATTCCTACAATACCTTGAAGTAAGGTAACTTGATTTTTTTGACCTACTATAGCAAGTTTCACAGGTTGCATTACGTAAAACCCAATAGGTATTACGTAATGATTACGTAAAGTATTTATAGCTTACGTAACAGTTGTAAAATATCATTACGGAAGCCTTACGTAATGGAGGCTTCTTTTACGTAATGAATATTTATCTCGCGTTACGTAAAATAATAAGTAATTACGGAAGTCTTAAGTAATGCTTCTAATTTAATTGTTACGTAAGAAATTACTGTTATTACGGAAGCATTATGTAATGAAGGGTCCTTTTACGTAATGAATATTAACCCTCTGTTACGTAAAGTGTTGAGGCATTACGGAAGCCTTACGCAACGCTTCTGATTTAACTGTTACGTAAGAAATAACTGTCATTACGGAAGGCTTACGTAATGGATGTGTATTTTACGCAGTAGTTGTAAAATGTCATTACGGAAGCCTTACGTAAGTGAGGCTTCTTTTCCGTAATGAATATTAACCTTGTGTTACGTAAAGTATGAAGGCATTACGGAAGCCTTACGTAACGCTTCTGATTTAACTGTTATGTAAGAAACAATTGTCATTACGAAAGACTTACGTAATGGATGTGTATTTTACGTAACAGTTTTAAAATGTCATTACGGAAGCCTTACGTAATTGAGGCTTCTTTTTCGTAATGAATATTAACCTTGCGTTACGTAAAGTGTGAAATCATTACGGAAGCCTTACGTAACGCTTCTGATTTAATTATTACGTAAGAAACCATAGTCATTACAGAAGCATTACATAATAGATGTGTATTTTACGTATAAATTGTAAAATGTCATCACGAAAGTCTTACGTAATTGACACTTCTTTTACGTAATGAATATTAACCGATCACGTTTGAGCTATTTACGGAAAGTATTTAATTCGAGTCTTCCACAACATTTTCGGTATAAAACTATCTTAAAAAATTATGAAAAGATAAAATAAAAAAAATTTAAATACATGCAATTAGGTAAAATCAAGCAGAGCTCCTAACGTAAAAAAGAAAGAAATTGTTCAACGAAAAACAAAATGGAAAGAAAAAGGGGGAAAAAGGTAACAGGAAAGTAATTGGCAGTGCCGGTCTCCCCCTATTTCTTTTTTATTTATTTTTTTTCTTAATCAATGACTTAAGATGATTCTAACTGATTTTAATGGTCTCGATCTATATAAATTATCTAACTTAAAATTATACCCAAATTACTGTAGTAGGTCCCGTTGTGGGGAATTACACAGATTTTCAATATTGGGGTCACCAAGATTGAAACGTAAAATTTTTCGGCTATCAAACCCTCCAATTGCCATGTAAGAAAACTAGTTCATCCCAATTGCCTCATTTAGTACCGAATCTCGCTGAATCTCATTTGGTAGAATCGATGTGAACAGAGAGTTCAAATTCAACCTAAAAATCAACATATATAATTAAGCAAGTTCGAGTACATATCATACATTTTACACAAGTAAAATTTTATATCCTTTTGATATCCATCATTCAAATAACAAATTCAAAAAGTTCAATTAACCAACAAAAAAAAAAACACACACATACCCAATTTCGATATATCAAGGTATCCGGTCTGTATTACATTATTATCAATTACATACATGCTTCAAGAGTACTACGGTATACCAAGCTTATTATAAGACCGGCCGGCCATGCCATAACATCACAAACCCAACCAAAAACAGCAAGCAAATCACGACACAAAGAGAAACTAGATCACCCGATGAACAGCGATGATTAACTATATAAACTGCTAATTCAATCAATCGCAGTATCTGTAATCCTCAAACCTCATGAAACAGTACGGGAGCGCGACCTGCGCCCCGGCGCTGCCGCTACAGGCATCCGACAGCGCGTGGAGCGCGTCGTCCAGGCAGGTCGCGCAGCTGGCAGCATCCTGCAGGTTACAAGACACCGAACCGTAAGCCGTGGCGGTGCCTACGTCGTCGTCACCTTCGTAGACGTTGGTATAACAGGCGATCGCCCCGGGAGGTTGTTCCTTCGCCAGCCTGGGCCCCGCGTTCAGCAGGTTCCACACCAGGTGGACGATCGCGTAGTCGATCGCCTCCCCGCCCTTCAGCTTCTCCGTGCTGCACAGAGGACCGACCTCCTGCGCCGTCGCCGCCGGGACGACTAACCAGATGGTGATCATCCATAGTAGGAGTAGTACCGTCGACGGGGAACCAACTCCTCCGGCTCCGATCGTCATCGTGTAGGTGGGTAGTTTGGTGTACTGTATTTGGTTTGGCTTTGGAATGGAAAGTTGAGGAGGGTATATATCTGTTTCTTGGAAACATATATATGGTAAGTTTTGTTTGTTTGTTGTTGGCGTTATGTTGCATCCTGGCGGATGCGGTCGGACGTCGAGGATTACTAGAGGTGCGTTCGGCGGATTCGTCGTCGAATAACTTTGAATTCGGCAGACATAACGCCGTGGCGGCCTGGCTCCATGACGCCGTCAAGTCAACGTAGCTCAGTAACGACGACGATGCATGCATGGCTGATAGGATGACAATTTTGATCTGGGCTGATTTACCCGATCTGTTTGGCGTTGTTTTGGGGCGGGTCAGACCAGCCCCGTAGGAGGGGTACTGGGGCGGGCATGGGTACCTCTCATCGACCCGACCTGCCCTGACCTGCCCATTTTCGACCCGTTCTTGCATAATTACATATAATCTTAGTCAAATTACTAAGGATTTTCCTCTTATTACATTATATTTTATCTATAATAAAGTTGCAATGAATTGAAAACCTCAATTATTTCTTCAATTATTTAACTAGATTTTATCATATTATGGTTTCTTTCTTGGTTTTTTAATGAAAATAACGAATATTTATAATGTTTTTCACATAAATTACATACCCATTGGGTCGACCTGCCCCGACCCGCGCCCCGTAATAAATTAGCCGACCTGCCATGGGACGGGTATGGGTATCGAGATACCCGGCCGCCCCGGACCTGCCTCATTGCAATTCCTATTGGCTGACAAATCTAGGGGACCAATATCAAACACAAGCGTGTGAAGCGTGTATTCCTTCCCCCAGAAATATCAAGAACATAGTTAGAAAGAACCACTACCCACAATTCCTTCTCACCCTACTAACAAGCCAACCAACAAAGTAAAAAAAAACTAACTCTAACCGAAACAGCAGCATGACTTTACGTGCCACTCTAAGCGTGAAGCGTGTATGTTGACGACGATCTTTATTAGACATTATCGTATACCAACTGCAAAGCACGGACCAATCATCAATCACATGATCACATACATGCATGCATCAACTACTACAAACATACCAAGCTTATCGTAAGTACGTAGTACAACAGGAGAACGTTACAGATTTGTGAATTGGGATTTCATCATATATATGTGTTTTAAGTGCAGTATGCATATGCCTCGAACCTCATGAGACAGAAGTTGTCGAGGGTGACCTGGCCGCCGTTACATCCGGGACAGCCACCGGACAAGGCGTTGAGCGCATCGTTCAGGCAGGCCGCGCAGCCGCCAACATCCTGCGAATTACAAGCCGCCGAGCCATAAGCAACGGCGGCGCCACTGGGACCCTGGTAGACGGTGTCGAAACATAAGATCGACCCGGGCCTCTTCACGAGGGACGGAGCTGAGTTCTTCAGAATCCACACGAGGGAGGCGATCGCGTGGGCGATCGGCTCCCCGTTCTTTATCTTGTTGGTGCTGCACGTGACACCGCCGCCTTGTCCCGCCGCCGGCGGGACTGCGTTGTCGCTGCCGAAGACCAACAAGATGATGGTGGTCCATGTTAATACTACTTTCGACGCCGTCATCTTCTAACTGTATCGAGTTCCCGTTTTGGTTGAATGCTCCTTTGTTCGATCTGTAGTCTTCTTATAAGGAAAGGTGATCAGGAGGGCATTTCTTGTATTGTACTAATTTTGTGTGGGAGATTACTAAAGGTGCGTTACGCTCTCGGTCGATGGAATTTGAGTGACAAACAAAAAGATGCCTTGACTGGTCTTCGAATTACAGCATTCGGCAAGAAGGATCCGATGGGTTGGGACCAGCTAGCTAGCCATCACGTACGTACGCCATTGCCTGGCTGGCTGACTCTGGGGTGTAACGGTCCGATCCGGTTCAGATCGTGACAAACTCATGAGAACCGCAATTCACTAGTGATAGACATCATCTTAGTGTTAGAGAGTGGTATATGATCCAGTTTAACTTTCTCCCAACAACCCGAGTTATTATTGGGAGCAACTGGTTCTTCACATGGTATCAGAGCCTTCTGTGACCGAGAGTTCTTGTGTTCGATTCCCGATTACCACCATTTGTTAAGCACATGGTATTCTTGTCTTCAGACCTGTGCAAACTTCAAACCCTTGTGAGTGGCTTTCGTTTGAGGGGGGCGTGTTAGTGTTGTGGTATATGATCCACGATTGAACCTCTCCCAACAACTCGAGTTATTGGGATCAACTGGTTCTTGACACTTAGGAGCACGGACCGGACCATCATTGTATTCGGTCCGGTCCAAATATCAGTTCGGTTCATTATTTTTTTAGCAAATGTAGAGACCATGGAGACCAAGAACCGGTCCAAACTTCGATTTGGTCCATTACGATTCGGTACGGACCGGACCATTGCACACCCCCTACAACGGGTTCCATGGCTCCATCGAGTCAATCTCAGTAAGGAGTGTGGCTTTCAGAGAGAATAGTTCATTCGTTATTGGGTCCAATTAGTTATTGATATGATATCAGAATCTTTTATGTCGAAAACAGTCTCTTATTCGAATTCTTGTGACATGGTATGTGGATCTGTGCAAAATTCAACCTCACATGAGTGACTTTCGTTTGAAGTGCGTATTAGTAAATGATATAAGATTCACAATTCTTTGCGAATGCGACCAAACTTGTTTTCGGCAGGTGGTCGGTACAATAAGTTTTGCCCCGTTTAGCCATAAAAAAATTTTACTAAACTTCTCAAACTAGCTTCTCATTGATTGAGTCTTTCATCGAGATCCGAGTGAAATCACGATGGCGTTTTCTTGTTCCTGAATGGGGTTTTTCAATTCTTTTAGGTTTGCACTCTACTCCGAGTAAGGATTCGCCCGATTTTTATTTGCACATATAGGGCAAATGCCCCCAATACCGCATCTTTTTGCTACAACTTCCTTAACAAGACCACTGGAGGAAGAACCAATACAGTTGATGAGATACATTGCCACAATTACTTGGAAAGGAAAAGGCTGCTCTTGTTGAATTGGAGCTACACCTCCGGTGATCAGGCATTTGAACATGGGCGAATAGCTCTTTTAATCAACAACCACAAACAAGATGGAACCACAATTATCCTCTTGCTTCGAGTTTCCAGAGGCAAAATAACATACATACAGGCAACCCAGAGGCAAAGACTATCTATGTTTGAACGATAATCGTTATCTACAATACAAAGGTCGAATTACTCTGCAACGCCAGAGAGGAAAGGAAGGGCTCTGCTGCAATCAATCATACGGCTGCAGCTTTCAGAGACAGGAAGTCTGATAGCTTGTTGGTGTAGAAATCTGGCTGGATGGAGTTGGTGGGGCTCTGGAGCGTTGACAATGAGGTCACACCTTGTTTTTTCAAAAGCACAAAGGGTCTCAATTAGTCCCGCACCAAAAGATGAACAAAGGCAGACTGAACTATTATGCAATGAACCATCAGTTGTTAGTTACCTGACAGTACAAGAAGAGTTTTACAGCCACCATTCTGTCCAAATAGAATGTCTGTGTCCAATCTGTCCCCAACCATGCATATCTGCGACTTGGTAATCCCGAACCTGTTCATGTTCGAAATCGGAAATCGTTACTGATAGAGCTAAACCATCAACGTGAAAGTAATAAAAACTCTAACAAAGTGTAACAGTGTTGACTACCTTCCGTAGCAAGCAAGGTGTTGGGTTTAGTTAGATGAGAATTGAGCTCCATTTGTTTTCACATGCTTAGTGTTCTTTTGATCGACACTTCGTTCGAATTCAACTACAAGTCCTATGCTAAAAGCTACTAAGGAAAAGTTTTTCAGAATGGGGAAAAGAATCCATACTCTTTGGCCAAGTAATCCATCATAAAAGTCGATGGCTTCCCCACAACCAATGGCTCCTGTTTAGTGGATCCAAGAACAGCACCAACCATAGAACCACCACCTGAAATTAAACAAGGATTACAAACGGATCGCAGGAGTACAATGGCCATATAGCAAAAAAAAAAAAAAAACCGAAAGAGCAGGAAATCGAGAAGGTGATGGTGTTAGAACAAACCTGCCCATTCCTGAGCATCTGTGAGGTGAGTGACAGCATCACGATTTGTGGCAATGAAGAGGCATCCAGGGTTTTCTCTTATGCAAAGAGTTCCATACCTTCGATCACCATTATAAAGATTGAGACAAGAAACAAAGAACAAAGATCAGCATCACCTCACCATTCATCTTCGCCCTGTTTCTTATGCATTAGTGCAAGGACGTGGCTTTAAAGAGCCTGATATCAACCAACATTGTTCTAACTTACTGGACTTTGTAGTAGTTGAAATAACGGTCGAATCCAACCACAACTGCTCCAACCTGAAACAAAGAGACTTGATGAACATGCACACCTCAGGAAGACGAAACGACACATCTATCCTCTGCCCTTATAGGTATCAACGGATAATAGTTTCTTGATGGAATGAAAAAAGAAACCAAAGCTTTACATCTTTGTCATGCTCCAGAAAGTACCCTGGCTTTAGCTCAATCTTCTTGTCACCATCCTCCTGTCTCAAGTACATTTTAACAAGTAAGAAACCACCCAGCATCAGCAGCAACATTTTGGCAAGTGGTGAATTGGGAAAGGAGCTTTTATACCGGGCCACCAAGGTACTGAATTCCAGCAATGTCAAGCTCCTTCAGGATCCCTTCCTCACCAATTACATAAACCTTAGCATCAGAAAGAACACAACAGCATCAACTTTCAGATACCCATCTCTCAAAATTCAGTCTTTGTTTCTGCCCAAACAGACAGGGATGATTCTGCTGCTAGTAGTCTAAGTCCATCCATTCACTCCACTGATAAATTAGGGACTACAACAAGATCATGAGAGACCAAGTTACCTTCTTATCTTTGGGGAAATCAATGGACTTCAAGTAAGCAGCGGCGGCAAACGACGACGCAAAAATCTCCTCCTCATTCACGTTGAGACCCAAAGTTTCGAACTTCTTGCCGTACTGCTTCCTCGACTTGGTAGAATTGTTGGTCACAAACACTAACCTCTTCCCCTGCAACACAGAAACCAATCACTCTTTAAGACTCAATTAAACAAACAATTCATCAATCAGAAGATGCAATTCGGAAACCGACCCTGGAGCGGAGCATATCAAGCGTCTCGGGTACTCCATCGATCAGCTTATCTCCTTTCCATATAACCCCTGCAGCAGAAAAAAAAATCGGAAGTGAATAATTGCGGGAATTGGGAATGAAAACCCACGAAGAGCACAAGTAATCAACTATACCATCGCAATCGAAGATGAAGGTCTCGACGGAGTCGATGAGTGCGTCGGCGTCCTCCAATTGCGGCGCCGCTGCTGCCGCCCGAGTCTTGAAACCCTCCATAACCCTGCTGCGTTGTGGCTTTGGGATGATGCTGCGATCACGATTGGTGTGGCATTGGGAGAATGCCAGCCGTCTGTTCAAAAACGGGTAACTGGCGGCGGCGGCGGAGGCGGAAGAGGAAGTGGAAGCAGCAGCAGGATGAGAGAGTGGGAGGAAAGAGGAGGATGAGGCGACTGCCACTACTGTCCTGCTGCTCAGCATTTTTGTCCCAACTTGTATTGTATCAGAGACGGACTTGCGCCGAGGGGAGTTTCAGTTGGTTCGTCTCGACGAGAGGCCATTAGCTAGGAAGCAAGTGGCGCCGGAGTGGATGATGTGGGACCAGAAAGCCGTTTGTGGGTTTTGGGTGGTGCGGATTGAATGGATGACCTGGGCCGTTCATCGTCCATCTCTATTCTCTACCACAAAATAGCCCAATCCCAAGCCCAAATGTGAAATGCCACCCAGTTATGAAAAAACTTTCATAAAGATTTCTTGGTTGAACCAAAAAAGAAATGGTATAAGGCTTAACATCCCAACTTTTTTTCTCAGGGAGATATTGTTGGTTTTTTTCCTCCTGTTCTTGTTCGATTTCACTTTTTAAGTTTTTTCTATATTGTAACATCTCGAATCTTTTCCCGACGAAGATATTGTCCGCTTTGGGCCTCGACTCTCACGTATTTCGACTTGGAGTGCAATTCAAGGTGACTTCACGTAAGGACATTCATCCTTGTTGTACTATACACTGAGCACGTTTAACTTCGGGGTTCTCACAAAAACTCCTCCATTTCACTCCAAAACGCGTCTTGTTAGTTAAGATTGGTTTCTTACTTACGAACAATAGATCTCTCCTGTGCTTTGCCGATATGGGATTTGCCTAAGGTGTTACATACCCCCCCCCCCCCCCCTAGGGCCTCAACGCCCTCGTTGAGGTTTGCCCCACCATTTGTAACATCCCGAACCTTTTCCCGACGAAGATATTGTCCGCTTTGGGCCTCGGCCTTCACTAATTTCGACTTTGAGTGCAATTCAAGGTGACTTCCCATAAGGACACCCATCCTTGTTGTACTCCACACTGAGCACGTTTAACTTCGGGGTTCTTACAAGAACTTCTCAATTTCACCCCAAAACGCGTCTTGTCAGTTAAGGTCAATTTCTGACTTATGAACCATGGATCTCTTTTGTGCTTTGCCGATGTGGGATTTGCCTAAGGTGTTACAGATATTGTTTGTTTCTTTGTCTATTCTCATTCGATTTCATTTTTTAAGTGAATTGTGATGCCTTTTTGGAAGGTCACTTATCTCTGCATATTGCAATGCTCTAAACTAAGCACTTTTTTATCTAAAATTATTTTGTAATTTAAATAACCATTAATGGTGTCCTTACGATCAGACACACCTCATTCTCTTCATATGGACTCATCTTTGCAATGTTCCACATTGAGCACTTCAACTTAAGAGTTTTTACAATAACTCTTTCATTTCACCCCAAAATGGATTTTGTCGGTTAATGTTGGATGTTTCTTATGAATCATAGATCTCTCATATGCTTTTAGTCAATATGGAATATGCCTAAACTGTAACCATTTCTTAAACATTACAAAAAAAATTTAACTTTTTATTATTTCAATGATAAAAAAATTGAGTGATGCTTTTTATTTGCTAACAAATAACAACTAGAGGCAAAAAAAAAAATTATTACAAACTTTCTGCCACCGGTCTCCTCCGTCTCGCCTTATTTTATGTATTCTTCTCTATGTCACTCCATCGTTAAAAGACGCCATTATAATGAGGAGACACGGTTTCATTATTGACAATCACGCCTCTAAAATTGTTATCATGTGTGAAATTTGGGGGGAAACGCTTCAAAGTCATTTATGTTTAGAAGAAAATACGACAAAATGAGAAGATATTAAAAACTTGTAATTCCCATAGAAAGTTAATTGAAATCAAATTTAGCATCTTTAGATTATCACGATACCAAAAACATCTGGTAGAACAATGACAATCTTTTTGCTACAAAATTGCGACAAAGTAAACATATTTACCCATGATCTTATATGAATCATCTGTGATCCGGCCAACACCCATAAAATCCTCATATTATTTGTCAAACTCCGAGCACCACGAAAACTGACTTTTGGAAGAGATAGGATGGATTAGTGAAGTATCTTGCTTTTTGTTGATAGGAATATTTTAATTTGACTTTTTATAATTAGTGGGCATTTGTTTTCTTCCTTGATCATATGAGCTCGTATTATGGCCTCTCGTGGGATAGATACCCCCAAATCCAATTATTTATTTTGGGTTGGCGTTGGCGTGCGTGTGTATGCAATTGGAATTTGGGACTCTAGTGATTTATTCTCATATTGAATTTGTGGTTAGGGTTAGGGTAGAATGAATTTGTTAAAATCTAATGATGATCTAAAGTCTGGCAGACAAGTAGGTGTGAGGAAAATCTTGTTGAAGGTTGTATTAGAAAAGCCAAGTGGTAGAGTATATTATGTTGAAATCGTGATTTAATCGTGGTTCAACTGTTTTATATTGTCTGACAATTTAGCCTCTGGCATGAGAAGTTTCTGGTAGAACTGCCGGTGCGGTGCTTTTTTTTTTTTTAATCCTTTGGGTGCGAGAAAGGAATATGATACATTTTTTTTTATGTAGAAGTGGGTGCTAATAAGGGGAGGAAGGGGGGAAGTGTCGTTGTTGGGAATCGAACATACAACCTGGCAAGTGTGTCGATCCACCGTGGCTAGATTGGCCCTCGTTCGCGAATATGATACATAAATAAGCATCTTCCAATCATTCGAGCTATTGAGTTTGATTGGTTCTTGACACGATATCGCGTATGTGATTTGTACTTGAGGTCACGTACTAAAGTCAAGGATAGTGAAACCATACCGAAGGTTATACCAAGAAAGTATGTGATAGAGTATTTTGTGATTAAGAGTCCATACATGAATCTCCCAAACAACTAAAATTATTGTAAACCCGTTGATTTATGACAAAACGATGAATCTATACCGGAAATCCATCTACATGTATTCCTCATTTGTTATCCCCTGAGGAAAAAAGTCCCTAGTGGCCAGTGCCGCCTTTGGAAAAGCTGTATTATCTATCTTTTCTGTATTTGTCGACATCATTTGAATTTTGATTTTAGCCATATACTTATTTAGGCTTATCGACGTCATATACTTACTTTTAAAAGAGAGACAAAATGGGGAAAAGATCCACATTTTGGAGGAAGAAAGAACCGATGCCAACGCAGAAGAAATCAAAGTCGACACCAAGTTGCTTCACAGGAAACTGAGTCACCATGAGCTGTTGAACATGGAATATGACGATGCCTGAAGAAAGGCGTTTGCGAGGTGAAAATCAATCTTCAAACGCCAAACTACGTACACAAAGTAACATCATGGGTGATGATAGAAAAGCAAAGACTTACAAGAAAGTGCATGGTTGAACTTGTGTGTAGAGGTTACAAAAGTCCAAGAGTATGGTTGAAAGTTGAAACTTGCATGTGAAGGATAGGAAGTCTTTGACCTTAGTGAAGCAAACATAAGCAAGGAGCTTGGTCAGAGTTCGTATCGATCGGTAGCTTCTTTTAAGGCCACAGTACGAAAAAAAGTTAATCCGCTAACTTAAGATTCGGTAGCAAATACTAACTGATATCCAAAATGCATGAACTAGTATCCAAGTCTGTTGCTTTTACGAAGTAGTACTAAAGTATATAGAGAGCACATACTAGTATTCAAGGTTTGCTAACTGATATCCACCATGAATCAACTATTATCCCAAATTCACCATGAATCAAGTATATAGACAACACAGAATAGTACCCATACATCACATAAATTAGTATCCAGATAACACATAAGAGTATCCATATTAAATACTAGTTGGTTTGATTGTGGATATAATTAGTTGGTAATTGATAGGCTGAATACTAATTATGTGAGTTGGATAATAGTTTTGTGATGTTTTGAATACTAGTATGTGCTATCTAGATACTTTAGTACTATTTCATAAAATCAACATACTTTTATACTAGATTACTAGTTCATACATTTGGATATTAGTGAGTATATACTAACAACTTATGTCGTTAGCAGAGTAATTAACTCTATTCTACATAGCAAGTTATTTTTGAAAGTCAATATTTACATATGTTGGTAATATCAAGCATATGTGTATAATCTTTAGTAACGTGCCATGGATTGTAGGTAATCTTTGAAATACGTTTATACCAAACAATGGTACAAATAGGTTATTTTTTCACAAAATTCCATGTTATGGGAAAAGAAATCATGCAATGAGAGAGACTTGGTTCCGTTTGAAACCTAAAAGGTTTGAGACACGAGGGTGATCTATATATGTTTAATTCTCACACACGCTTGAAACTGTCATATGAATTATATTGTCATGACTCATGACATGAAATGGGTTTAGAAAAATGGTTATGGCTCAAACAAGATTGTTCATAGATCGTTATGCCCTCACAATCAGTCTCATGTGATCATTTAATCCATATATACATCTTCGTCTTTATAAATAGTTTTGGTAACCAACTAAAGCTAGTACTAATTATTTTTAGGTGATTATAAAACCATGTCACATCTTATCAAGTGTTTAGTGACTTCAAGTCTTTTATATTAGAATTTCACATAGAATCAAACAAACACAAGCATTGTATATTCAATATATATATATATATATATATCCATCAATAGTGAAAGAAAACTTAAAAAGAAGTGTAGAAGTAGAACGATCCAATTCATGAGTCACAATTCAACACAAGCACTACTCATCCATTTGTTTATTTATTTTCTCATCATATAAAATAATGAAGTAGCCGAAAACAAGCAGCAAAATAAAGGAAATAAATAAAAGAGTGAGCTGGTAATGGCATTTCCGTAGTTTCCTAGAAGGCTAGAACACCGAGGGCAAAGTCTCTCCAAATATCTTATTAGATTCATCCCACCTTCGCCACTGTCACTTCGTCTCTCTTATACGGAAGAGAGTCCTCTGCTCCTCCCTCCACCGCCCCTTCCACCGCCGTCCACAAAACGGAAAAGAGCAACCACCGTCCACCATGTCCCCAACCGTACATAATCACCGGAGCTCGACCTCCGCCGCTCACAGCTCCACCGCCAAAGACGCCGCCGCCACCACCACAAGCTCGCCCACCCCAAATTGGATCTCGGAATCAATCAACGGCGGATCCCTCCGCCACGTGGACCTCGAGACCGGAACCAACGGCTGGGCTTCACCCCCGGGCAACCTCTTCTCCCTCCGCTCCACCAACTACTTCACCAAGAAACAAAAATCCCCCGGCGGCGACTACCTGCTCGCCCCCGCCGGGATGGACTGGCTCAAATCCACCACCAAGCTCGACAACGTCCTGGGCCGGCCCGACAACCGCGTCGCCCAGGCCCTCCGCCGGGCCCAATCGGAAGGTGAGTCGCTGAAATCCTTCGTCCTCGCCGTGAACCTCCAGGTCCCAGGGAAGGACCAGCACAGCGCCGTCTTCTACTTCGCCTCCCCAGATCCGCTCCCCACGGGCAGCCTGCTCCACAGATTCGTCAACGGCGACGACGAGTACCGGAACCAGCGGTTCAAGATCGTGAATCGGATTGTGAAGGGGCCATGGTTGGTGAGGAAGACGGTGGGGAATTACAGCGCGTGCCTGCTGGGGAAGGCCCTGACCTGCAATTACCACAGGGGGGCGAACTATTTGGAGATCGACGTCGACATCGGGAGCTCCGCCATCGCGACGGCGATCCTGCACCTCGCGCTCGGGTGCGTGACGAGCGTGACGATTGATATGGGGTTTTTGGTGGAGGCGCAGGAGGAGGAGGAGTTGCCCGAGAGGTTGATCGGAGCGGTGAGGGTGTGTCAGATGGAGATGTCGTCGGCTGCGGTTGTGGAGGCGGCGGCGGCGACGACGGCGGTGGTTGGGCGGGGGATAGGGTTGGCGAAGGTCAATCATCATGAGGAGGAAGATTGATTGGATTGGGGTAAAGGACAAAACTGTAATTGTCGACCTAAATCCGGGGATTTAGATTTTTTTTTTTTTGGGCGAGTTCCTCCCCTTTTTGGTTCGTTTTGTTCAATGAATGTAACGGTTCGGTTCAATTTTTGTGACGGAATGGGGGATCCCCGTTTCTTGTGTATGGGGATTGACGGTGGCCGGTGTAGATAAGAAAAGTGGAAAAAAACGGCAGTAACGAGGAAATTTCTTTAGCAAAAACGGATTCTCACCTTGAAGAGAAAGTAATCGAGTCAAGTAATTCGCTATCGGAAATTTTTCCGCCGTGTTGCGGATTATCTAGCCAATAACGTATAACTACGAATCGATAACACCACGAAATCATCGTAACGAGTTAGGTTTTTGGTGTGTGCTTGAAGTCTCCGGGAAATAAAATGGTAATATGTCAGTTAGGTTGTCTTTCTGCGTTGAGAGACTAGAGTGGGGAGTTGACTTGTTAGCTACAAGAATTATTGGGCAGCCAAATGTTAGGGCAATGGGGTTGGCTTTTGGAGGGATTTATGAGGTGACAAATGACTAAGTTGGGCTGTTTTTACTCGGTCTTGTTTTCACGGCTAGTGAGTTAAAACTTGGGCATTGGTTGGTGGGTAGGTCTACAATTATGTCCCGCTATTCACAAGCGGTTTGATAGTCGTCTCCGAAAAAGTTAGTTTGATATAGTTAGCAAACGAGTCTAGTTCCATCCAAGTTTTGTTGAGTTTATAAGGCTCACGAGCTAATTTGATTCATTGGCTTGTCGAGATCAATTCGTGAGATTACTTGACTTGGACTCATGAGCTGACTGCTAAATCTCGAGCCAATTCGACTAGCAGCTTGCTAGGAAATTACAAAAAAGAAAAACTGGTTTACATCCTCGACGCATTGTGGGGGGAAGAAATCAGGTGTTAGCAGATTATCTAGTCAATTCATGACACGTAAGACATAACTACCTTCAAATATTTATGATGTTGATTGTAAGGACTCGAACGCTCGACATTTGATACACTATTATGTTACCCTAGTATTTGAATCTCGATCGGTTAGTTTTCGCCCACCAAAATTTAGGGCATATATAGGTGCATGAAATTACTATATTGGGGTGATTTTACTTGGTCCTGTTTTCACTGCTAGGAAGTGGGAAATAGAGGGCAGTGGTTGGTTTGGTGAGTGAGTGAGTGTGTAAGTACAAAATACGACTGTTGTGATTTTAGGTGGGCGGGTTGGTTGGGATGTCGATATTAAAATTCAGAATCGGTGTGCTATAAGCTGGACGAATGTGTGAGTGGATGGAAAGCTTTTGTTTCTCATTCTTTTGTCGACCCAATGCTACAAAACTGACATCACCGGCCACCAATTATTATTATGGTCAGCTTTAACCCTCGTTCCATTATTCGGTATTTGATTAGTGTAACCATCATGATTAGTATGGTTCTGTGGAGTTAATTAAAAGAGCATCAGGTTATGCTTTGTGGGACACCAATAATTGTTGAATCACGCATTTCATCATTCAGGTTAAATCTAAGTCTTAATTCAATATCTAGATTACACTTTCCTATGAAGATATGCAATACGCTGAATTTATCATATGACGTTAAAAGTCACCGTATATTCCAAGTCGAAAAGCCACCAAAAGGTTTAGTTTAGATAGGAGCATGGCATTATGATCACCAGTAGGAACATATTCTGCGTTGCTGGTTTTGTATGCAAAGACAAGCATAAATTCTTAATTAATTCTAGTTCTTGGGCCAACAGCAACCTTAAATTTCTTGCCTACTTATATATTCCAGAAGAGAAAGATAACAGACACCATCAATCCAGTTGTTGCCGCTTTAATGAAATAATAATAATAATAATAAAGAAAGATCGTCTCCATCTCTGCTTATCTCCATCCAATGTGTACTTTGAATTCATTTCTTGATGGAGATTGGAGAAAGGTGACTGGTAACATATAAAATCAAGTGGATCAATTCATAATTGGGCCAGGGTCATTCAAATAACAATTGGGCTAACCATAAAAATAGAAATCACTTGGGCCCTTTGATTTCAGCCCATTCACGATTTCAACGTCCCAATCACCTGGGCTTCAACTGGCGCTGACAGACAAATCTTGCACTCCAAGTATCACATCCTTTCCATCGTCACTACCGTCAATTTCACGTTGCCCTGCGCTCTGCGGCACCAGAACTTCAATTTCTTTGGTCTCATTCGTGTGTGGTGCACAACCAACAACCATTAATCTCTCAAGGCTCTAACTTTGACTAACTTCACGGCCAACCAACAAGTCAAGAGTCTTGAGCTGTTGGCCTCTTCTACCCTAAGCCCCAAACACCACATCAACAAAATAACAAACACAAAAACAAAATGCTTACTCTGCATAATCCTTTCAGAAAAATGAGATACCGAGTTCCTCCGATTCGTACTTGACTGCTGAGAGGGATAGGCGTAAACACCGGGCCACGATAACCAAAATTGCAGTCTATATAGTCAGTCACCTGCATTTCCTTGTCCATGTTCAACCCCCACACCACACTAATAAGCATCTGCTGCATATGGCTGCTTCTCAGCACCTTCATTGCTTCTACATCACGGCAACAATCATAACCTATGTTCTGACCCATTCGTGCGCCGATGGAGCTAGGCCACAGGATTTAGGCACCTATTCACTGCAGCAGCAAGCTCCGACGAACCCAATTCATACGGACAGATTCGGGGTGGGAGTCGCCCTGCCCGTGACTGCAGGGCCTGGAGGTGGAAGCTACGTAGTCACAGTTGGATTCGGCACCCCAAAAGTCGACTTCCCTCTGCTCTTTGATACAGGGAGCGACGTGAGCTGGGTGTACTGCCACTCTTGTTCTCAAGGCTGCAGCCCTGGATCGCCTACTTTCAACCCTTCACTGTCTTCTACCTCCTCCAGCGTCCCCTGCAAGGCCTGCGATTACACCGTGGAGTACCATGATCGGTCGCAGTCGATTGGGGTTTACGCTAGAGACACGATCTCCCTGGCGGACACCGAGTCTCAGGAAGGGTTCATATTCGGCTGTGCTGAAAAAGTCAGTGGGGACTTTGGTCGAACAGCTGGTGTGCTTGGGCTCGGACAAGGGCAGTTCTCGCTGCTGGCACAGACCGATCCGAATCTCTTCAGCATCTTCTGTTACTGCCTTCCGCCCACGGATTCGGGAACTGGGGTGCTCTGGTTTGGTGTCCAAGCGATGGAGAGCTGCCGGCCGGGAGCTTCCAAGATGATCTCGCTCGTTGTCGACCCCAACAACAACGGGCTCACCAACTATTTCGTCAAATTCACCGGCATAACGATTGGGTCCCAGAGATTGGACTTCAATTCCTTGGTCTCTTCGCCGATGAGCACGATCATCGATTCGGGGACCGTCGTGACGCGGCTTCCTCCGGCGGTCTATTCGGCGCTCCGGGCGGCGTTCCGGGGGATGATGTCGGGGTATCCCGCAGCGGAGCCGACTAATCTGTTGGATACTTGCTATAATTTGGAGGGGCGTGAGCAGGATTGGACGCCGCCGACGATGGTGATGCATTTTGAGGATTCGGTGGACGTGGGACTGGATCCGTCGGCGGTGACGCTGAGGGAAGGAGATGGGGAATCGGCGTCTCGAGTTTGCTTGGCTTTCGCCGGTAACGGCGATGAGAATGAATTGACGATTATTGGGACCCAACAGCACCGCGGGTTGAGGGTTTACTACGATATCAATGGCCAGAAACTGGCGTTCGCCGCTGGTGGCTGCTGAATGCTGATCGATCATCTCGACTATAGCATCATAGTTAAATTTCTGTTTTTATCTTTTTTTACCTTTTTAACCGTTGTTGAACTCACATCCTGTTAATTGTACTTGTCTACTAGGTAAAAGAAAGGTATTTGCATAAAATTTTCAGAATATAAAATTAAATTTGTAATTTTGGAGTTCGGCGCTAATTTCTCGTTTGTTAGCATGATGCTAATACTAATTTAAGTTAACAGGAATATTTCATTTGATAACTTTTTTAATTGTGAGAGATTGTCAACTAATTGTTAGCATGATGCTAATAATAATTGCAATTATTATTTTTTTTTTTTTTGCGTAAACTGGAGGCACCATGTCAAAGAAATCAGAAAGAGGTCGGGGTAGAAAGGGTTACAGATGGTATGGGAATGTGGAGGGATACAATGTTTCTGGCAAAAGTAACTCCTCTGTCATCATCCTGTAGTAGAGGCTGGACTTCCAACGGGGTGCCTCTAGCTCATAGATATCATAGGTGTCAAAACATAAGCGTGAAAACGACAATCCATATCAACACAAACAAACACGAATTTAACGTGGTTCACTAACACAATGTGTGCTAGCTAATCCACGGGCAGGAGAGAACAAATTTCACTGATTTTGAGGAGAGTACAGGTTACAAACCAAATTCCGAAACGGACAAACCAAACAAACTAACTTGACTGACCTTACTACAGACTAGGGTGATGAAGAGTATTTATAGAACTCTTCTCCTAATCCCAAACAGAAAACCAAACACATTTTTCAAACATACAAGGAAAATGCCAAAACAAAGCCCAAACACAAACCCAAACAAAATAGGCCCAAAACTCAAAACAAATCCAAATCAAATTCAAGTCATATCCTAGGGCTGGGCATGCGGGCGGATCATCTGCGGTTTTGGGCCGACCCACCCGCATTTGACACGAATTTCGTTAAGTGGGTGGGTTTGTGGGTGGGTGACGGGTTGCGTGGGAGCCATCCGCCGGGTGGTGGGTGGGTTGTGGGTGACTGTGCGGGTGACCCGCTCAACCCAACAGCAAAAAGAACAAAGTCGTTGGCGCTAGAGAGAGGAGAGTGGAGACATTAGATATAAACTCGGACTGCTCCTGGAGTTTGAACCTCAAAGCCAATATTCCAAATAGAGATCCCCTCTTCTTCCCATTACTTTTTCCTCTAATTCTTGTGCCTAGATCACCGCTCTTTCCTTTGTGGAATTATTTTCCTTAGTTCCTTGCACCTAATAATCGTCTCAATCTGTAGAAAACTCTTTCATAATAGAATTTTTATCCAATTTAAGAACTAATTCGACATTTTTCGCCCTATTTCAACTTCTTGTTTCCCTCGATGATTCTCTTCACCTATTATCATGTCGAGTTGACTCCTTTATATTATATACATTGTGATGTGGGTGAACCCACAAACCCATCCGCATCATTCACCATCCGCCCGACCCAACCCGAGACTAAATGTGGGTGGGTGGTGGGTTAAAAATTATCAATCCATTTAACCGCGGGTGAGTGCATTTTATGGTTAAAATCCACCCGACCCACCCAATGCCCACCCCTATCATATCCTAACAATAGGGATAGAAAAGACTGTGCTTCAAGAGCCAGTCCGCGACTCTATTCCCCTCCCGGTATGTATGAGATAGTTTCACCACCCAATCGTGAGAAATCCTCCTCCGGATAGCTGAGAGTAGCGTCGCGTAAGGGTGAAGAGGGTCGGATCTATTGTTCACCAACTGAATAACTGTATGAGAATCTGATTCCAAAATAACAAACCTGTACCCAAGGTTCCAAGCTGTCTTCAAACCGTGATAGATAGCCCACAGCTCGGCCATGGTGGCCGAGCACGAGCCTAGACTTGCTACAAAATCTTGGATCCACTTCCTATTCACATCTCGCAGAGCCCCCAACTCCCGCCCTATTCTGTTCTCCATCTGCAGCACCATCCACATTAACTTTAATCCACCCCGTGGAAGGAGGATGCCACCCTATGTCTTGCAGCAACCCGCGTGGGAGGACGGAGGAGGATATCTCTTGCCACAAATGGCAAATATTAGCTGTCCATGCCTTGTACCACACATCCGCCTTGATCCGAATAGCCTGCGTGAGTGATGGAGAGGATAGGGTCTTACCGATACCATTGAAAATCCCTTCATTTCTGTTCTTCCAGAGACACCATAGAGCGATGCTGAAAAATGCGTTCCATGGGCAATTGTGCCTGCTCAAACTCTTGCATATGCATAGCTCTTAATTGAATGTTCTAATACCGACAACTATTTAAAAGATATTTCCAAATCTCAAAGCTTTCACAACAAAATACGTCTACAATCCTTATACGCCTCATCACACACTATTTGTGGCCCTCCATATATCATGTGGTTTATATTAACTCTTAATAACGAGGGTGGTGAGAATTTCAAACACTTGACATCACTATTAGGGCTAATAACACTGGAAATACCAACCTTTAGCAAAAGTGCTATTTATATTACAGAATTTCAATAATCACAAAAATACTCCAACCTATTGGGGTTCAGTGTCATTTGCGTTACACGAATTTCAGTTGACTGTTAGAGTTAACAGTTGACTTAACGGTAGTCAACTTATGTTTGACCATTAATGATGTGGCGCTTATGTGTCATCCATATATGTGCCACATAAGAAATAAATATTTAAAAAAATTAAATTAGCATTACAATTAAATAATAAACAATTTCCCAAATATTAACACAAAAAATTCCCAAAAAAAGATTCTCATTCACGGTGGACTCATCGTGGTCTCCCCGCCGCCTCACGACCTCACTCCAAATCAAGGTCGACATCCTCCTCAGTCCTCACCCATCGTTTCTGCCATGGACATGCCGCATCTCGTTGGATCGGCTGGATCGGCGACTGGGGAGACTGGATCACTCACTGCCACAAGAGTCGATCAAAACTACCAAAATCATCTCCTTTCCCCTTCAACCGGCGGAAACCCAGCTCCGATCGATTCTAGATCAGCATCCTTCGAACTTTTTCTGTCCTCCTCTGCAAATCGACTTCATTTGTTAAGGAAAATCTAGAGAACCCAATCCCAATTGCTATCCAAACCCGACCAATTCGATCGATCGCCACCAGACGTTGTTCTCCTCCAGCTATTCGAACGATTAAATCCTCTAACCATTGGATTAACACAATCCTCCAAAATCCCATATGGGATCCATAACTAAAGGAAAAATCTGTTAACACAATCTTATCGCCGAGTTTGGGAAAACCCTCTCTACTTTCGGCGAGAGTTTGGGCGCCATTGGAATCCGTCTTTGGATGACTCCTCCGTCGCATTTTCTCTCTCCTCCCTTTTTGAATTGATTCTATACCAGGCCCCTCTCTCGGTCTCTCCCCTGCAAAACGACGATGACGGCAGATCTAGAGATTCTGAAGCTGCTCGACTCTGCCAACATGTCTCCTCTACCATGGATTTCTTCGAGAGGTCGAGAGGTGGCTGCCGCGTCGAGTCTTCTGCCTTCAAAGAGAGATGTCGCTCGAAATGGTGTCGGGGGAGGGACGCCGCCGGAAATACGAGAAAGTTGGACCAACGGCGATACCCATAAAGTGAGGAAGTGGAATCGTCTATCGTGGGAAAAAGAAAGTCTGAAGCCCCCGCCTCCAAGACCCAGATTGATTCCACCAACCTTGTTGATTTTGGGAATTTTGTTCAAGGGTTCTACCTCTGCTCATGGCTCGAGAGTGCAAAGAGGAAAGGGTGAGAATGAAATGAAACGTGTGGCCTCCCATTTTTATATTTACTATATTTTTTGTTTTCGTTTAGTAAATTAACAAACACAATATAATTGCCCACGTCAGCACGCCACATAGGATCATATTAGGCATTGACTGGGCGTTGAAAAGTCTTACAGTTAAATTTAACGGTCCAACTAACGGAATATACATTTTGGTATACAAATGACATATCGATAGTTACATAATATAAATGGCACTTTCGCTAAACGTTGGTATTTTCAGTGGTATTAGCCCTCACTATTAAATCAATTATTATACTATGTTGTAAATAAATTAGTCTCAATAACCCAATTGAGAGAGAATTATACACACTTAATCATGTATCTTAAGTATACTTCCCTCAAAACAGAGCAAGTCGCAGGATACTCTGTTTTTTTTTTTTCAGTTTGGCCACAGAACAGAGTTCTTTCTCTGCAGTAATAAAACCCAGAATTCATGTCAGGATTAGATCACAGGGACAGGACACATGGCTACAATGAGCTCCTTTAAGTCCTTAACCCATTTGACCCTCCAAAAAAGCAAATGAAGTCTTCTCTCGTGGTCTGTCTCTTCTCTGTCTTTTCTGAAGCTGCTGCTGTCTCTACCGCGCTCAAGAATCAATTTCATTGTTGTTATTCCCAAAACTTCCTGTAGTGAACAGTAAGACTGAGTACTGTCTTACGTCTACTCTTCGTTTCTTCGGTCTCCGGCATCTCTTGCACAAGACGACGGAAGGTCGGAACTTTGCTCGGCGAATACGTTACTCCTGGTCCCGACCGGAAAATTCTTCCGAGTATTGAACTGGTCTTCTTAATAGACACTCTATATAATGCCAAGTGACGAATCTGCATACACTCAAGCCAATTACTCAACATTTACAGTGCTCCAAAATATCCACTCTAAAACGCGTTCTGAGGTGAAATTGAAAATTTTTGTAACAACTCCAAAGTTGTGCTCGGTGTGAAGTACTGCAAAGATGAATGACCTATGGACGTGACATTGATATGCACCTCAATGCAAAATCCAGGAGGTTCAAGACCCCAAAACAGAGAACATTTTTTCAAAAAAAAATATTCGGAATGTTATAGATCAAGCAATGAAAAAAAAAAAACTCTTAGGCCATCTCTTTATTTTATATTTTTGTTATAAGACCCTTAGGCCATCTCTAAGTCTCTAGACTCTAATTTATGATTAAGCGCTTGTCGGGATAGATCGACTTATATGAGTATGTAATCTAAAGAGTCTCTAGACTCTAATTTATGATTAAACGCTTGTGAGGACAGATCGACTTATATGAGTATGTAATCTAAAAGAAAAACATTAGAAATATTCATTTTTATTGTGAAAAAATTAAGAACCAAATTATAATGTGATAAGTTCGAGAAACTGAAATTCTCATCTATTGACAACTTTATTACATTTAAAATATGAGATAATAATGTAAAATCTTTAATAATCTGAGTAAAATTACATGTAGTTTATACAAAAATGATTAGAAAATGAGATGGATCAAGACAATTCATATCAGAGTATCTATATCCACCACATTTTCGGTCAAAACCATAAAATGGCTGCCAAAGCTCCAACCATCCAAGGTGTCAGTTTGTTATTGGTGGATTCACCTTTCTTTTTTCTTAATATTTAAATATTTAATTATGCTAAGTAAATCAAGAATTAAAATATTAAAAAATGATGAAAACACCAATAGAAAATTGACACGTAGCTAGTTGGAGCTTCTGTGTCCAATCAAGATTGGAGCTAATAATTTTCCTACTTAACCCACTTGACCCTCCCGAAAAGAAAGAAGTCGTCTCTTTCTCTCTCGGTCCCTACTCTGTTCTTTTCAAGCTCTGTTCCTCGCTCGATATCTCGTATGTGAATCCATTTGACTGTTGTTGTTTCGAAACTTCCTATAACGAACAATAATACTACTCAGTATTGACTTAACCTTCCTCGCTAATCTGACATAGCTTTCTTCTTCCTCCTCACAAAAACAAACCAAGTCGTCTCTCGTGGTCTCTTCTCTGTCCTTTTTCCAAGCTCGAGACAGAGTTTGGAAATCTGCTCGGCGAGTACGTTACCTCTGGTCCCCAACTGGAAAATTCTGATGCGTTGAACCCTTCTTCTCAAAAAATTCTATATAATGTCAAGAAATCCTTCATATGTTCAAGCCAATTACTCACTTCCCTTTTCTCCATTTCCACCGCTCGAGAACATCCAAGCTAAAGCTGTAATGGCTAAGAATACCCACATAACAGTCATCCCCTTCCTTCTCTTGATTTCCATCTTCCATTCCTATAACAACTGGCAAGTCTCCGCCAGGGAAACCCACGCCAGAAGAAGCCATCATCATCACCACCACCATCATCAAGCCAAGAAGTCACTCCCTTCCCCTGTTTTCTCCTACTCTGTTTCTTCTTCCTGTGCATCATCTCCTCTGCCTCAAGGTAACCTTATGGTCAAGAAACATATATATTACGGTCTAATTTATCTCAGAATCAAGGCTTTCCATTAATACTAGCTCAATTATTTCTTCAACAACAGGTGGGTTGAAGATCTCGCACAGATACGGTCCCTGCTCACTCCAGGGGAAGCGGCAGGAGCTGAAACAGGGGAGCCACAATTCACTGTACAACATAGCCGCCGCCGACGACACAACCGCCACCAATTATGCAGTGGATTCTTCAGATAACGGAGAAGGAGTAGCAATGCGGACCTTCGGTCGCTCGCAGGGCGCCGGAAACTTCCTCGTCACCATCGGCCTCGGCACTCCGGAACGAGATTTCGATCTAATGTTCGACACAGGCAGCGACCTGTCGTGGGTAAAATGCCAACCCGACGGCGGCGGCGACGGCGGCGTTTTCGACCCTTCAGCCTCCTCCACCTTCAACGTCACCTGCGATCCCAGCTGCAACTACAGAGTCCCCTACCTTGACCGCTCCAGTTCAACCGGCTACTACGCCAAAGACAGACTCACCATCGCCGGCGACGAGCTCCCCAATTTCACCTTCGGCTGCAGCCAGAAAACCTCCGGCAACTTCGGCGACGCCGCCGGAGTCCTCGCCCTCGGACGATCCAACCCAATTACACTCATCTCCCAGACCGCCGCGATGTACGGCCAGATCTTCTGCTACTGCTTGCCCACCTTCGACAATTCAGCCGGCTACCTCCTCTTCGGAAACGGGGCGACCCATCAATGTCGAAGCTCCGACAACCAATTCACCGCGCTCGTCGGCAACCGCGATTCCCCCAACCAGTACTTCGTCGATTTCAACGGGATCACAATCGGAAGCGCGAGGCTCGACTTCCGAGCTTCTTCTTCCTCCTCGCCGTCGATGGGGACGACGATGATGGACTCCGGGACTGTAATTACCAAGCTTCCAGCTGCGGTGTACGAATTTCTGAAAGGTGAGTTTGTGAAATCGGTGGGGGAATTTTACCCGAGGGTGGAGAAGGCGGATAAGTTGGACACGTGCTATGACATGGAGGGCAATTTCAACGCCGCCGTGATTCCGGCGGTGGTGCTGCATTTTGACGGCATGGATCTGAGGCTGGGTCCGTCGGCGGTGGTTTGGATGGACGATGGGTACGGTCAGGTGTGCTTGGCGTTTGCTGCTAAAGAAGATGAGAAGGATTCGAACATCATTGGGAACCATCAGCAGAGGGGTTTGAATGTGCTGTACGATGTTGAGAATAGCAGGGTTGAAATCGGGCCGGGAAGTTGTGGTGGCAACTAAATTGGGTAGGAAGGATTTGATTAGTAGGGCTGTGGTGTGGCTAAGAATGCCTAAGTTAAGCCCAGTCTTTGATGTCTAATTCTGTGTTGGTCCTAATTGCAAAGTGTTTTATTGGTATACTCTTTTTCTGTTTGTTTGGGGTCTCACCGTGAGCTAAACTAAGAAAACAAAGAACGAAACAAAACTAAGTACGAGGGAGATCTCAAAAGAGATAAGTTGTTGCGTAGGCTGAATCCCTCTAGTTATAGGTTGACATTGGTTGAATGCAAGTTAACGAAGGTTACCCTATCTTCTAAGTTGCAAGAAATCACCGAAACTAGTACATAAGACAATGATCATGTCTGGTACTGTAGATGCACTTCTAATAGACTTCTTGGTTCAATGAGAATGTGACCTACTAGCCACCTAGAGCTTTTAAGATTAGAGTTAGACTCATTAATTCCCAAATGACGAATGAGATTTTGACTCTAGTTACGGTTCGCGAAGAAGAAGCTGCCAGTGGGCAAATGACATTTTGTACCTTGTGGTTGTTATGTGCATGATCTGACGACCGGGAGGGAGATTGGTTGGGGTAGCAAACATGGTCACATTGTTCATATGGAGGAACTTGAATCTCGCCCACTGTCAACTTTGTTTCGTTGTCATCACTTGTTTCATCTGGCGTATAGGGTATCGTCTTTCCTTTCTATGTCCAGGAATTCACAATCCTTACCTGTTTTTTTTTTTAGTACTCGTGATAAAACATTTTATTTGGTGGCATTTTCAATAGGGTTGTCCCAATTCTAGTCAGCTTTTGACGAAGTTTAAACAACGTTTACGGGGTAATTAGCATAAATGGTCACAAACCTTTGCACTTAGTACAAAACAGTCACAAACCTTTAATTTGTAACTTTTTGATAACAAAATTTTTTATTTAGAACAAAACGGTCACAAATTAAACAGTGTGACCATTTCATACCAGTTCGAACTTTTGTTACCGTGTCGTTGCAAATTAGACTTTTGGTGACCGTTTTGTACACATTAAGTTCAAAAGTTTGAACGATCAATCACCGTTACAATTTGCTCTAGTTGTATGGTGGTTTTGTTAATGTATGTGAATGATATGATCGTCATAAATGATGACAATGAGAGAATTCAATGGCTCACAAACGGGTTCCAGACTGCTTTTTAGTTGAAAAAACTCTGTCTACTTTCTTACTTTCTTGGTATCGAAATTGAAAGGTCAACCGAAGGCATTCTTTTTCGGCAAAGCAAATATGTCGATGAACACATGACCTGACATCTTATATGTCGTTCAAGTGGTTAGTGTCATATACTTAATTAACGAACAAACTACCCGACCTCAAAACATGACAATCATTTAATTTGTAACGATTCGGTAACAAACCTTTGCACTTAAAACAAAACGGCCACAAATTAAATAGCAGTGACCATTTTATACAATTTCAAAATTTTGTTACCGTATTGTTACAAATTAAAAGTTTGTGGCCGTTTTGTACTAAGTACAAAGGTTTGTTACCATTTATGCTAATTACCCACCCAACGTTTATGAGGCAGCAGTGCGACGTTTGATTCTCAATATGATTTTCGTGCAATAGTTGTGTGGAAGCTAAGACTACACATACCTCTTTTCTGCCTAGTCTTACTGTTATTATTGGACCTTTTTCATATCATCCACACCGATTGTTGGGGCCCTAGACTAGACTAGTGATAAGTGATCTCTTATCATGGATATACATATTTTAAATTGGTTGTCGATAATACCATTTACTAACATATTGATTTTTTGTGATAATTTCGTTAGGGCAATTTCCTTTGATCAACTAATTTCATTTTGTTTGTTTACAAAGGAATAGCAAATTGGATGAGGATGAATTCGGGCTTCTAAAAATATAAATCGATAACTGTTACGTTGGAATTATAGAGGTGTTTGCTCTGATTTCAGCTTTTCGGAGTATACAATATTTCTAAAATGTTGATTTAATATGAGCAAAATAATGTTTATTAGGTCTTTATTATAAAATGATTTAATTTGGTTAGTACATATTATTTTCATTTAAGCACTTAATTCGTTTTGCTCTCACAAAATACGGCTGATACCGTGGCGTACGAAACTATGACGTCAGGCGACCTAAAGGGTTTAAGGCGGCAGCTCCATTTCACTCTCGATTGAGGTTCTTCAGCCCTTCCCCCAATTCTCTGTAGTCCGAAAGGCAGATATGGCTTCCCTTTGCAGGTCCGCTGTAATGGCGGGCTCAAGGTCTTTAGCTGCGCGTTCCAGAACATTAGCTCAGAAGCCCATCTTCTCGTCCTCTCCTTTCGCTTCTCCTTCCCCGACCCGAGTCGTCCGAAGCGCTTCAAGGTCTGAGAATTTTTCTTTTTGACTTCCGAATTTCAATCTCTACTCTGCCCCTTAGTTTTCTGTATTCATTGAAGTAATTGAACCATTTCGCGTTGCTGGATTGTTGTAACCTTAGGGTTGTTTCAGCTATCGGGAGCGTAGATTCGTTGTTACCTTTTCATAGTGCCACGGCCAATGCGCGGCTTATATCCAGCATTGCTGCTGATTCCTCTTGCTGGAGCTTACTTTCTGAAGGTGATCTCTTTGTCTATCTAGTTACCCAGTTCTCAAATTAATCTTAGAATTTCGTTTCTGTTGTGCGTTATGATATGCCCATGGAAGGGAAGGAGGGAGATCGATCTTCTATGTCTAGTTGGTTATCAGTCAGTCTGGCGTGTTAGAACTTTACATTCTGATTATCACAATGGTGACTTCCATACAACACAAATTAAGTGAAAATGTATTGTTACAGTAAGATGAAGTTGATTGGATTTTGCTATGAACATTTCCCTCTTCTTTGTTAACATACACAGCGGATGGACATGAGCTTAATTGGCTTCTTGTTGATTGTGTTTTTGGGGGGTTTTCATTGCTCATGTTGTTAACTGCTCTGCTATTTACCATTTAATTCTTTGCATTCGAATGGTGGTTCTAATTTGTCTCTCTGTAGCTTGCTCTAGGCCTTGCAACACTTTTATGGCCGCCATGTTCATCTGAGCTCTTGTTGATTGTGTTTTTGGGGTTGTGTTCATTACTCATGTTGTTAACTGTTTTGTTATTTACCATTTGATTCTTTGCCTTGGAATCATGGTTGTCTCTCATTTTTATCTTGGTAACTTGCTCTAGGCCTTGCAACACCTTTATGACATCTGTGCTGGATAAGGAATTGCCAAAAGGAGCTTGCAACACCATTATGACCACCTTGGAACTGATCTCTTAGGAAGGACGAACACTTACTTCAGTTTTTGCTTCTTTTGTAAGTCGTGTTCACTGACCTTTTCTTTTCCATCTGTACTTGGCTTTGCTACCCCTTCCGGGATGAGAGCTTCCGTTCCTTTTGGATGATCAAACGATTGTTAGTGTGATTTATGGAATCTTGTAATAATGGTGTTTCCTTTTCATTTGACTTGTTGAATGATGCTTCGACTAGCTATGCAGTTCCTTAGCTCGAAGCCATAGCCTCCCTTGGTACCTCTTAAGTGAACTCTTAGGTCCAAATTCCGATGATGAGTTACTTTGTCAAGTTTATGAGTATAATCGTCTGTTTTCCTCCCCTAATTGTCTTGATGGAGATAAATTCTGGATGCTAAACCACGAATTGTGTAAATCTGCAGGTGCCGTGATTTCTTTATAATTTGGGATCTTTGAATATGGTTTTCTAGGATTCATTCTGCAGTACTTATTTGTTAAACTTTTGTTATCTAGTTAAACTTTTGTTATCTTAATCTAACAGATTCGTAGATGTAACAAAAGGTTTTATTATCATGCCTTAATTCTAGTACTTGCGATTTACAACGTCGATTCTTTATTCTCTTTCCGAAGTTCTTAGTTTACAATGCTCCCTTTGAGAAGAAAAGAAGAACAACAGAGTTTTGCTAGGGTTTTTGGTGAAGGTTCTCAAAACTTGAGAGCTTCGTTTTCTGCATTTCTCAATATATACCCAACAACCTTTACAGAGGAAAGTAGAAACCAACGGCTAATCTACAGTATTAACTAACTAATCAAAAACAACCAATAAAACAAAAGCACGTGTCCACAAGACACAATTAAACTTGCAATCAACGAACTAAGAAGGACGACATCGTATTAAGCCATCTCTGTCTTCTATTGATGAAACGTCCCCGTTTTGCTCCAAAGCAGCTTTCCGGATTAGAGCAAAACGCCGTCGTTTCTCCTGAGCTGGTGATCCTCGGTTGCAAGCATCTTCAGCCTGCAGCAGCTGCCTTCCTGCACTTCTCTTCTGGTTCAATCCTCAGCTGCTGCTTATTCATCTATTACCCCCCTTCAAGCTGGCGAGTGTCTTCCAGAGACTCCCAGCTTGCACATCAGCATGTTAAAGCGATCTATACCAAGGCTTTTGGTAAATATGTCTGCTAAATGGTAGGTAGTTGAAATATGTCTCAAATCAAGCAAACCATTCATCAGTCTCTCTCTAATGACATGACAATCAACCTCAATGTGTTTCGTTCGCTCATGAAACACTAGATTCCTGGCAATGTGTATTGCCGACTGATTGTCACAGTAAACCAAGGCTGGTTGAGAGTGAGCAATTCCAAAGTCAGAAAGCAATCTTACCAACCACTGAACTTCACAACTGAGCTGAGCCAAAGCTCGATATTCTGCCTCTGAGGAGGATCTGGAAACTGTACTCTGCTTCTTTGTTTTCCAGCTAATCAAACTTGTCCCCAGAAAAACACAAAACCCTGTCAAAGATCTTCTTGAATCAGGACATGTGGCCCAGTCAGAATCACTATACCCTGTTAATTGCGCAGCAGAATCATTGGAATAGAACAAGCCTTGACCAGGTGAAGTACTCAAGTACCTAAACACCCTCTGCAAAGCTTTATAATGAACTGTGGTTGGAGAATCTTGGAATTAGGGATGTCAATTTACCCACCCATGGGTATTTTTGCCCAAACCCATTTATATCCATTTATATGGGTTGGGTATGGATTTATTCTATATGGATTTGGATAATGTTTGGGTAGGTGGAGTTGGGTTTGGGTTTTATTTTTGGGTATGGATTGGGCTTGGGTACCCATCTCCTCGGACCCACCTGTATATATTTTTTTTATTAGGTGTTAAAATGTAAAGCAAAATTTTTAATGTACTAAAATATAATTTTCCACATATGATGTTGAACCTATTTGTATCTTCTTAAAAACTTCAGGTACTAAAATGTAACTTTGGCCAAGTCCAGCTGCTTCGCCGGTGCCGAACGCTTCGCCGGTGCCGAATGCCGGTCTACACCCCGCCGTCGCCGATATCCTCGAGCCGGTCTACACCCCGCCGGCCGCCAGTGCTCTGCTCGCTGTTCCCCCTCAACTGGGTCGGGAATCGCCACGGCTTCTCCGAGCCCCTTCTCGGCGTTCAGGTTACAGAGCTCTGCTCGCTGTTCCCCCCAAAACCAGAGCGCTGCTCAACTGGGTCGGGAATCGCCCCTTCTCGGCGTTCGAGGTGTATAAGATGGATGCTGATCGGAGGAGATGGGTGCGTGCCGCGAACTTGAGCGGCGCTGTCGGCGACGAGGAGAAGAGGGCTCTGTTTTTGAGCGGGGGTGACTCTGTTTCGGTCCCCGCCGGCGGTGGGATTGCGGCGGACTCCGTATACTACACGGACGATGGCCGGGAGCGGATGGATGAGGATTACTTGTACGGAGGGCACGACATCGGGGTGTTTGATTTGAGAGAGGGGAAGATTAGGAGGATTGATGATGAGTTTGAAGAAGACAAATTCGACCCGGCCTTGCATCTCTCTTCTCTCTTTTCAGTCCGATTGGCTAGCTAGAAATCCACAGTTGTCTTCCTCTCTCCTTTCACCTTCTGCAATCACTTCTACCTCTTCCAGTTTCTGCTTATCTTCCATCTCTTGATCAAATTCGAATCGGGTTTTTCGATCAGCCTACTTCTGATTAATCTTATTTTTCTTTTTAGTTTCGTTTTTCTTTTTTTAATTATTTGGGTTTGGATTTTTTAACCCAAGTTCATGGGTAAAACCCAATTAAACCCAACATAATGGGTATGGGTATTGACCCATCTAACTTTATCCATTTACACTTTAATTGGATTTCAGACCCAACCCAAATGGGTTGGATAGTTATAAACCCATGGGTATGGGTATAATTGCCAAGCCTACTTGGAATTGGCAAAGCTGTTGAACAGCAAAGCTTATGTCTGGTCTAGTACTTGTCAGATACTGCAACTGTCCCAACAAGTGTTTAAACTTGCTAACCTCCAGAAAAGGATCACCATCTGAGGCTGAAAGGACCTGTTTTATGCTGGAAGGGGTTTTTGCAGGTTTGCACTCATCAAATCCTGCCTCCTTCAAGAGTTCTGTGCAATACTTCCTTTGAGAAACATGAATTCCTGTGGCAGTTTTGTTTACTTCCAAGCCAAGGAAATACTGCAACTCTCCTAAGTCCTTCATTTTAAACAAGGACTTCAGCATATTCTTAACTGCAATGACTGCTTCCAGATTCACACTACCAACCACAATATCATCCACATAGACAATAAGGACAACCAAATGTCCTTTAATCTCAGTTAAGAAAATTGAATAATCAGACATGGATTGTCTGAATCCATTAGCAAGCAAAGATTCTGTTAATTTGGCAATACCTCATCCTGCTGGCTTGCTTCAAACCATAGACACTTTTTCAACTTGCAAACCTTCCCCTTGTACTCAGGCTTATCCCTCATGCCTTCTGGCAATTCCATGTACACATCTTCCTCCAATTCACCATTTAAGAAAGCATTGTTAACATCCATTTGATGCAAATGCCAGTTGTTAACAGATGCAACAGCTAGCAACATTTTTACAGAAGTCAGCTTGGCCACAGGTGAGAAAGTATCACAATAATCAATGTCATACACTTGTGTGTATCCTTTGGCAACCAAACGTGCCTTAAATCTCTCAATTGTTCCATCAGGATTGTACTTAATCCTGAAAACCCACCTGTTACCAACTGCCTTCACTCCCCCTGGCAAGTCAGTGATGTCCCAAGTATTATTATCAAACAATGCTTGCAATTCCTCAATCATGGCTGCATTCCACCTAGGGTCTTGAGCAGCCTCAGCATAACAGGAAGGCTCAAAGGCTGCTGCAAGGGCTAAAGCAAAGTGTTGTTGCTGTGGTGAAAGATGAGCCAAGTCTTGAGGGATAACCAACTTGGGACCAAAACTGACTTGATTCAAACCCACATAGAAATCATCATACTTCTTAGGAAATGTTACTTGCCTTGTTGATTTTCTAAGGGGTACTACTGGTGTGGTTGGAGGAGTGAGAGGAGCAGGAGTATGAGACAAATCAGAAGAAGAGGAGGAGGAACCTCTAACTGAAGTGTCTGGACTTGTGGAAGAAGGAAAAACTGGTGAAGTAAATTGGGGTGATGTGGTGACAGAAGGAGAAGGATATTCTGTCAACTCAGGTTCAAGAGCTGGTGAAGAACCAGAACAAGAAGATTCTTCTGGAAATGAAGAAGACAAAGGAACAGAAGAAGGCTGTGAGGGAAGCTCTTCTTCTGCAGAATCTGAGTCAGATGTGCCTGTTTTGAAAGGCAAAATCTGCTCATGAAAAACAACATATCTCTTAACAAAGACCTTGTTGGTAGCCAGATCCAACAACTTGTATCCCTTAATGCCATTAGGGATTCCTAGAAACACACACTGTCTAGACCTAGGATCAAATTTAGACTTATTTGTTAAACTTTTGTTATCTAGTTAAACTTTTGTTATCTTAATCTAACAGATTCGTAGATGTAACAAAAGGTTTTATTATCATGCCTTAATTCTAGTACTTGCGATTTACAACGTCGATTCTTTATTCTCTTTTCGAAGTTCCTAGTTTACAATGCTCCCTCGATCGGGTCTCATCTAGCTGCAGCCGCCGGCGGCGAACCCAACCCTCCCGCCGGCCCCGTCGTACACTACTTCCCACGTCACCTGCTGCAAGTTCCCCAAGACCGCCACGTCGCTCGCGCCGCCGTTGGCGACAAACCCCAGGCACGCTTGCGCCAACGAGAAGAAGTACAGGACCCCAGCCCCGTGGATCTCCACCTCGACGCCGCCGACGAAGGAGAACGCGATCGTGGGCACCAACACGGGGTTGAAAGTGGTGAAGTCGAAGCAGGTGTCGAAGATCGAAGTTGGCCTCGCCGCCGGGAAGCCCGACATCAGCTTCCGGAACGCCGACCGGAGGGCCGAGTAGGCCACCGGCGGGAGGCGGGTGAATACGGCGCCGGAATCGATGACCGCTCCAGCGGTGGAGAAGACGGTGGCGGGGATGGGGAGCTTCTCGCCGCCGACGGTTATGGAGGTGATGTCGACGGTGTAGAAGTTGGCGCCGCCGGGGACGGTGGTGAGGGGAGTGTATTTGACCGACGTCGTGGACACGTGGCCGAAATTGAGGAATCCGGTGGTGGTAAAGGTGGAGGGTAGACAATAGGAGAAGAGCTTCTTGTACTTTTGGGCCGTTTGGGAGACGAATGAAAGCTTGTCCCGGCCCAAGCCCAACAATCCGGCGGAACCGGCGAACGTTCCTTGGTTGTTTTGGCCGCATCCGAAGAAGAAGTTTTTGAACACGTCCGTTGAGCTCAGTGTGAGTTTCTCCGTGCCGAAAAATCCATTGGAGAACGAGGAGTCGGAGTACTGGATCTCGTACTTGCACGTTGAGGAAGAACATTTCGACTTCATTCCTGTCAATAAATTGAGTAATCGGCAATATTAAGAAAAAAAATTTATACAGGCACACAGATATTTAACGTGGTTTACTAACACGACGACCTGAGACTGAAGCGAGTGCAGAGCATGAGCGCGCGGAGCAAGAAACGTTTCGGTACGAAGTGGAGGAGGATGGATCGAAAATCTTCTCCCGTTGCTCGTAGCAGAACCGGGCGCATGGCTGGCACTGAGTCCACGTCAGGTCGCTCCCCGTGTCGAATACAAGGGAGAGCGTCTGCGGCGGCGTGCCGATCCCCACGGTGACCATGAAGTTACCGGCGGCGCCAATGGTACGGGCGTCCTTCGCCGGGATGGTGGTGGACGACTCGGTCACCTTGACATCACCGCCAGCGGCTGCCTTTCTGAACCTGGACTGAATTGTCTGGACCCTGGACTCGTCGTGGAGCAGGATTTCTGCCGCGGTGGGCCTGGGTTGTTGTTGGGCCTGTCCGCACGGCCCATATTTGTGGACCACTCGCAAAGATGCTCCCTTGTTCAGCCCTACACAAAACTTGTTCTTGTACCATGAATAATGAGTTAAAAAAATGGAAGACAGAGTGAAAAAAGCTTTCTAATCCAAAACCACCTTCCATAGCTGAAAGAGAAGGAGAAGAGCAGCAACTTGCATCCGATGGAATCAGAGAGGAGAGCTGAAGGGTGTGGAAACGAAATCGCGGCGGCGGCGACGGTTGAATTGGAGTTCTCATGGTACTATTGGGTTCAAAGGTAATATTGGGATCGCCATTGGCATTCCTCAGCAAGAAGCAGAGAGCAATGATAGTCAAGGAGAAGGAGAAAGTAGTGCTAGTAGTGGCGGCCATTATTTCTTAGCAGGATCAAAATGAGAATTTGTGGTGGTGTGATTTGGATTTTAGGTCCATTTTTATAGGCACAAAAAAATATGTGTCTAAAATGGCTTTTTGGCAGGTAGTGGGAGAAGAAGAGTGGGAGATTGATTTTCTGCGGTAAGTGGTAGAAAGTCAGTAAACGTCTTATTCATTTCTATGCAGAGTTTCCACTATCTGATTCGCTTTGTTATACGTATTGTCGTATACGTAAATTCAACAAATTCTTTTCGATGTAGTTTGTTCGAACGAATACTTGGTAAACTTATAAAAGTAGATAATTCGAAATATAATTTTTGTTGGTGACCAACTTCATTTTGGAAATCAACTTGTGGTAGTTATTTACTTATTGTACACCTTTTCCTTCTGATATTCGTTCGTTCTTTCAATTCCGAAATACTACCATAATTCCTTTGTCCCTTACTCCCTTAATAAATTGGACATCCATCGGGGAAAATACGACGTCGCTCCGAGTCCTCATTTGCAGCCGCCGCTGGCGAACCCAATCCTCCCGCCGGCGACGTCGTAAACCACCTCCAGCGTCCGCTGCTGCACGTTCCCGAGTATCGCCACGTCCTTCGCGTCCCCATTGCCGGCGAACGCCAGGCACACCTGCGTCGGCTTGTTGGCGTACAGAATCCCGACGGCATCGATGTCCACCTCGGCGCCGCCGGCGAAGAAGAGCCCGATCTTGGGCACCGCGAAATTCTTAAACTTGCTGAGGTCGTAGCAGGTGTCGAGGATCGACAGCGCCTGCGCCAGAGGGTACTTCGACATCTGCTTCCTGAACGCCGACCGGAGCGCGGAGTACGCCGCCGGCGGGAGCCAGGTGATGACGGTGCCGGAGTCGATGATGGCGCCGGCGTCGGAGTAGACGGAGGCGGCGACGGGGAGCTTCTTGCCTCCGACGCTGATGGCGGTGATGCCGATTCCGTAGAAGTTGTCTCCGCCGGCGACGCTGGCGATGGGAGTGTACTTCACCGCCGATTTGGCGGCGGCGCCGCCGAAGGTGAGGAACCCGGTGCCGCTGGGGGAGGAAGGGATGCAGTAGGAGAAGAGCTTCTTGTACTTGTCGGAGGTCTGGGAGACGAGCGACAGCTGGTTCCGGCCCAATCCGAGCACCCCGGCGGCGCCGCCGAAGTTCCCTTTGTTGTTTTTGCCGCACCCGAAGTAGAATTTGTCGAAGACGTCGGTTTTGGTCAACGTCAGTTTCTCGATGGCGAGGAATCCGATGGAGAACGACGCGTCGCCGTATAGGATCCCGTAAACGCACGTCGAGCCCGAGGCAGTACATCCCCTGTTTCCTGCCGGAAAAATTTGAAAACAATTGAATTTTTTTCAGTCACTAGAATTCGAAACCATAAATCTTTTCGGTCCAAAGTTTCATTACCATTGAGAATTAATACGGTAACGTACCGGTGGCGGCATCGAGGGCGGAGCAGGCGGCGGCCTCGCACGAAACGTTTCGGTACGTTTTGGAGGAGGAAGGGTCGAAGATCTTTTCCTTTTGCTGGTAGCACTCTACGCACGGCTGGCATTGCGTCCACGTGACGTCACTTCCGGTGTCGAATATGAGGGAGAGTTGTTTCGCCGGGGTGCCGAGGCCCACGGTGACGATGTAGTCCCCGGAGTCGACGATGCTGCCGTCCTTGGCCGGGATGGTGGTGGATTCCGTCACCCTGACGTCGGCTGCCTTTCTGGTCCTGGACTGGATTTTCCGGACCCTGGACTCGTCCAGGCGGAGGATTTCGTCCGCGGTGGGCTTGGTGCTGGTGAGTTGTTGGGCCTGGGCGCACGGCCCATGTTTGTGGAACACTGGCAGCTTGTTCAGCCCTACACAATAGGATCGCAATATTAAAATTAAAACCAACTGCTCAACCTTTCCAATGTACATTAATATAAAAATATTGAGTGAAAGAGTTAAGCTTTGGAATCACCTTCGGTGGAAGGAGCAGGGCTGCAAGAGTTTGAAGGAAACAGCGAGGAGAGCTGAACAGTGTGGAAATGCTGCTGCTGAACTGCAATTCCATCGCCACTAGCAGTGTTCAAAGCAAGCAGAAGAAAGAAGGCGAGAGATGCAGCAGAGGAGGAGAAAGAGAAAGCAGTAGTGGTAGTGGCCATTGTTTCTTTAGGTCCAGGATGAGGAAAATGGGAATTGTGGTCTCAGCGTTATTTGGGCCGTCCCCTTTTTATAGCCCACGAATATCTGTCAACGTCAAATATAGGTCCACTTCCACACTCCGGTTCGTTTCCACTGTTCTTCAGCTAGCTGTTTTTATGGGCCTGATTTGGGCTGCTGACTCTTGTGGTTTTTCCCAGAACTGATGAACGATGGAGGTTGGGCTTTCCTCCCGGTGGCGGTTACAGCACCCGATTCGTCAACTTAAATTCGTCGGCTTTCCAAAGAAGAAGTAAGGACTAGAAACGGGGGAAAAGATTCTCATCTTGGTTAGTTTTCATTTCCTTTTAATGTGATGTTGCACATATATATCTGCGTCGATCGATATGATGATGAGATCACGCGCGAGAAAGTAACCTACAACTAACTAATTACTCGGTATATTCTTCGTGGTAAAATGAATAACAGGATAACGTATATCAGGTCGTCTACTAGAGAGATTTGGAGTTTGGATTCGTACCTCGATCGTTTTGATGTCTTACGAAGCTTCTTTATTTTTTTCGGTCATTAATCGGTCACGTCCAAATGAAAAAAAAAAGAAATTGATCATGAATTCCGATAAATTCGAAACTCTGAATCGCGTATTTGTCGATCATAATCGCGTATTTGATCCGGTAAAACATATATTCTCTCCTCTAGATTGCCTGCTATTCGAGAAGCTCTAGCAGCTGGTTCAGCACAAATTTTTACCAACAAATAACTATTTGGATTCTTGTTTTCCAACGACACATATCATATATGGATAGGGACCACGTGGGAAGTCGTTATTTGTCCAATTTTACATGAAATACGGATTCTTATGTTAGTTTGAGTGCAAGCTTTGCTAATTGATGCATATCATTATCATTACTATTTATATCTTAAACCCATATTTGCTCTCCTAAGCAGTAACAAGTTTAAAAGTCTTACCAACCCACAAGCCATAGATAGATAGTAAGGCATTACCGCCGGTCAAACAACCTACATTCCGGCGACAATTAGTAGTGACAATTAGTAGTGATGGTATTGGGGCAGGATCGATACCTCAATTACTCATACGCACCAAGTGCGGTTAGATCTGTTAGTGAGTGCCTATAAGATCTATTATTAAACCTCTCCCAATAACTCGAGTTATTAGAAGTAATTGGTTCCTGACATGGTATCAGAGTCTTCTGTGATCGAGAGATCTTGTGTTCGAATTCTGATGTCCCCATTATATACATTTTAACAATCAAACAAAGTAAAAAAATTCGTGTACAAATGAAAACAATAAAGACAATAGGTAGATTAATTATATTGAGTTGAATCAATTATAGTCTAAATTGATCAAAATTATGTCATTTACTAATTCATACTTTCACAAAAAAAAAAAAATCATTCAATGTTACTTCTTCATTTGAGACATCGCAAAAAAAACTTAGGAACTAACCTTTATTTGAAACAAACACTCCCACAATTTCATCTGGTTTAATTTGTTTGAGATAAATGGCACGAGGCGGCTTGATTGATGGAGGACTACTGCCTTTTCCTTTTTGTTTCTAACGTTAATCTCCTCTTGTCTTGACCGTACGTTACTTTGGGCAACGGTTGTTCACAATGAGCTGGTAGATTGCATGCAACCGGTTCGGTGCCGAACGATAATGAGTCGATTCATTTGATCCAATTGTTATATGATTCATATGGACATTGGATCGGATTCATATGTACGCTGAACGATTTTGGGTTTGTGTTGAGTTTGTATTGGTTGGAATTTGAGTCAACTTGTTAGAGTCGGATTCAAATAGGTTCATTTGAGTCCAAATGAGATGAAGTCATATATACAAACATATAATATGGACTGTCTTACTAACCGTTTTCAGCCCAATTCACACCTTCAATGTTGGGCGTTTCTACTTTCTACATTTCTGTTTGTTTTGGAACAAAGAAAAATTACATAAACTTGATTTGACCAGTAATAAATCAAATTTGGACAGTATTAGAATTTTGGATCCTTATTGTCATCCCTAGTGTCAACATAATAACTTTCTTCTGGTAGCAGATTACTAAGTCAAAGATGAAAATATATCTTCTCAATCCTACTTTTTTCTTTTACCATAATTTCCCCCCATGTTATTTTGCTTATCGCGCCAACTCTTTATGAGAGAATGAAAAGTTGTAAACAACCAATTCAATTATCTCAAATTCATAACGAATATATTTGAGATTTCTAGGCATAATCTTTTCGTTATTCTCTTGATTTTTTTATATACCTTCAATTCCTACCATTTTAGATGACATATATTTTCTTTCAACTCCAACTTCATATCCGAAAATAAAAAAATCCCCAAATTTCTTCTAAGATATGAAAAAAATACACAACACCAAACTAGGAGGACTTGATAAAAAAAGTATATATTAACTCATTATCGGTAATGTCATAATCAGCAAATACCATAAAAGATTACTATGAAATAATGAATTAACTATTTTAGAAACCTCAACTTATTTAAAAACATGAAGAGATTTATCAAAATAAAATAAAATTCACCCAACCAACGAATCAAGTTAATATTTTAAATATAAATATAAATTAACGAATAATAATGATAAAGCGAAACCCAAATATATAGATTAACAAGAAGACAATCCATAAATCCATATTCATCATTCCTGAAATCAAATTGCGGTAGTACGAGTAAAGCTCGAGTTTTTCCTTCTTCCTCCATTTGCTTCGCCATTACCTTAATCAGCTTTTCGATGATTCAGATTATTTATAAAATTTCTCAATTCCGAAATACTACCTTAAATAGGGACATTATTCCGGGGAAAAGACGACGTCGCTCCGAGTCCTCATTTGCAGCCGCCGCTGGCGAACCCAATCCTCCCGCCGGCGCCGTCGTACACCACCTCCAGCGTCTGCTGCTGCACGTTCCCGAATATCGCCACGTCCTTCGCGCCACCATTGCCGGCGAACGCCAGACACACCTGCGACGGCTTGTTGGCGTACAGAATCCCGAGGGCATCGATGTCCACCTCCGCGCCGCCGGCGAAGAAGAACCCGATCTTGGGCACCGCGAAAGTCTTAAACTTGCTGAGGTCGTAGCACGTGTCGAGGATCGACAGCGCCTGGCCCAATGGGTACTTCGACATCTGCTTCCTGAACGCCGACCGGAGCGCGGAGTACGCCGCCGGCGGGAGCCGGGTGATGACGGTGCCGGAGTCGATGATGGCGCCGGCGGCGGAGTAGACGGAGGCGGCGACGGGGAGCTTCTTGCCGCCGACGCTGATGGCCGTGATGCCGATTCCGTAGAAGTTGTCGCCGCCGGCGACGCTGGCGATGGGAGTGTATTTCACCGCCGATTTGGTGGCGGCGCCGCCGAAGGTGAGGAATCCGGTGCCGCTGGGGGAGGAAGGGAGGCAGTAGGAGAAGAGCTTCTTGTACTTGTCGGAGGTCTGGGAGACGAGCGACAGCTGGTTCCGGCCCAATCCGAGCAGCCCGGCGGCGCCGCCGAAGTTCCCTCTGTTGTTTTGCCCGCACCCGAAGTAGAATTCGTCGACGACGTCGGTTTTGGTCAACGTCAGTTTCTCGATGGCGAAGAATCCGGCGGAGATCGACGCGTCGCCGTATTGGATCCCGTACACGCACGTCGAGGCACTACATCCCCTGTTTCCTGCCGGAAATTGAAAAAATTGAGATTTCGTCAAAACCATAATCTTTCGGTCCAAAGTTTTACAACCATTGAAGAAATTTCAAAGTATTTGTCGTTTTACGTGATAATTAACTATGGTAACGTACCGGTGGCGGCAGCGAGGGCGGAGCAGGCGGCGGCCTCGCACGAAACGTTTCGGTACGTTTTGGAGGAGGAAGGGTCGAAGATCTTTTCCTTTTGCTGGTAGCAAGACCGTACGCACGGCTGGCATTGCGTCCACGTGACGTCACTTCCGGTGTCGAATATGAGGGAGAGTTTCTTCGCCGGGGTGCCGAGCCCCACGGTGACGATGTAGTTCCCGGAGCCGACGGTGCTGCCGTCCTTGGCCGGGATGGTGGTGGAGCCCGTCACCCTGACGTCGTCGGCGCCAGCGGCGGCTGCCTTTCTGGACCTGGACTGGATTTTCTGGACCCTGGACTCGTCCTGGCGGAGGATTTCGTCCGCGGTGGGCTTGGGCTGGTTGGTAGAGGTGACGAGTTGTTGGGCCTGAGCGCACGGCCCATGTTTGTGGAACACTGGCAGCTTGTTCAGCCCTACACAAAACCATTAATGTCCATACACAATCATGTATAGTTGAGAGCATCTTGTTATTATGTACTTAATTAATTATGAGTTATTACTAATTTACTATGAGTGAAATTTAAAGGGAGGATATGATAGGATAGGATAGTATGAATGATTGCTTTGAGATTGGGGCAAAATGCTGGCAGCCACACAATTTAGAAGGTTCCCAAGCAAGTTATATATATGGTAGGCTAAAGTAGTTTGTCCAGTTGAACTATGGAGGATTTCACATGTTGTTTTGTCCTCTTTTGGGTTCTTCCACAAACAGGTTTGGTTATTTTCAGTAAAGTTAAATTGGAGGTTTCTTTACTTTTCCATTACCTAATTGCCCATTTCCTTTTGTGTCAAATACTCAAATTACCCTGTACAGTCACATATATATATATATAGTATTAAAGTAAACTTCGACTATCATAGAGCTAGTTCCATCACAATATTAAGTAAATAAATTAAAAAAAAAATCCACATAGCAAGAGTGGATGGCATTTTGAACCGATACGAAATGGTTAGCTTGGAATCACCTTTGGTCGAAGGAGCAGGGCTGCAAGAGTCGGAAGGAAACAGCGAGGAGAGCTGAACAGTGTAGAAATGCTGCTGCTGAACCCCAAATGTTCCATCGCCATTAGCAGTGTTCAAAGCAAGCAGAAGAAAGAAGGCGAGAGCTGCAGCAAAGGAGGAGGAGGAGGAGGAGAAAGAGAAAGCAGTAGTGGTAGTGGTCATTGTTTCTTTAGGTCCAGTATGAGGAAAATGGGAATTGTGGTCTCTGCGTTATTTGGGTCGTCCCTTTTTATAGCCCACGAATATCAGTCTAAGGGCTCTAATGCGCTTTGCCATTTTGAGTAGGGGCGGGCAACGGAAAACGGGTATTTGGATATACCCATACTCATCCGGTTTTTTAAGGATTACGGGTACCCAAATATTCGTAATTTTTTTCTGGGATGGAATTTGGGATGAAAAAATCCTACAACAAGTACCCATGAGTTACTCGTTTGGATATTACGAGTATCCGTACTACCCGTATATAACGTAATTAAACTAATTTGATGATCCATATATATATAACTAAACTAACAACTACCATCAAAGAAGTCTCTTCTGTGATCATATATATACATATGCACAGTGACTAGATCTGGGTGGGAGATAAATTAATTATATTACCTTTCGGTAGAAAGAGACGGCGCAAGTATTTTGGTCGCTGCAACTTGCTACAGATGCAAGAATTAACTGATGCATCCTAAGCAAATTCCACATTTGGTCACCGAGATTACTAAATCGTGTCATGTTTAGTCACTAGAAAAATTTAATATCAATTTTGGTCACTCGAATTACTGAAACAGGTCACATTTAGATTTAGTCACTCTCCAGTTAGCCTTAGTCCAACTCCGGTCACTCGAATTACTGAAACATGTCAGATTTAGTCACTCAAAGTACTAAAACATGTCATATTTAGTCACTCTCCCGTTAGTTTCCGTCCAACTTCATTAATGGAGTTGGACGGAAACTAACGGGAGAGTGACTAAATGTGACATGTTTCAGTAATTCGAGTGACCGAAATTGATATTAATTTTTCTAGTGACTAAACATGACACGATTTAGTGATCTCATTAACAAAATGTGACATTTACCCCATATAAATAATAACTAAAATTTTACGAGTTACCCACGGATATCCGTTATCCATCCCGTATGGGTAATAGGTACCCGTTAACCCGTACGGGTTTGGGACATGAGATGAAGTTTCCTCCCCAAATGGGAACGGATACCCAATTCCGTCCCGTTACCCACCCCTACTTTTGACTTTTTAGAGAGAGAGAAACAGAGAGGTCGACGTCAAATACAGCTCCATTATATTAGTCCACTTGCACACTCCGATTCGTTTCCACTGTTCTTCACCTTGCAATTTTAATGGGCCTAATTTGGGCTGCTGACTCTAGTTTTTTTTCCAGAAATGATGACTCTAATTTAAACCGGTAAAATATGTAATTTCTTTCTAGATTGCCTGTTATTCGAGAAGCCCTAGCAGTATATACTGTCCAGCACAAATCTTTTACCAACTAAAATATTGACAACCAATTATTTTCCACAATTAAAATGAGCGAATAATATGTAATAACATGTAGTGCCTGTGATACGATGGGAAAGGCACGTTGAGCGTTTGGACAGAATCTCTTAACCAGAAAACAAAAACTATTTGGATTCTTGTTTTCCAAGGACGCATACATAGATCGGGTCCACAAAGAAGTCGTTATTTGTCCAATTGTACATGAAATATATGGATTATCATGTTAGTTAGTTTGGGTGCAAGCTTTGCTAATTGATGCATCATTATCACCTACTATTTATAACTAAGCCATATTTGCTCTCCCAGCAGTAGCAGTCTAGGGGTGGCCAAACGGTTAGCGGTTAACCGATCGGTTACAATCATAACCGAACGGTTATTCATTGACCGAAAATCGAAATAATCGAAAATCGATTGGTATTTATAGGGATGGATGAGATGCTTTTGGTCTTGTGGGCAGCTCAGTTAACCGAAAATCGAGATAACTTAAGCCTTAATCCCTCTTTCGGTTGGTGGTTCGATTAACCAATGACCGACCCTTCGGTTTTCGGTTATAACCAAACCGATCGACCCTCCTCCCCTAAGTAGCACGTTTAAAAGTCTTACCAACCCACAAGCCATAGAGACATAGTATGTGATTTCCGCCGGTCAAACAAACACCTATAATCCGGCGACAATTAGTGAGTGGTATAAGATCCATTAATATTGAACATCTCCCAACAACTCGAGTTACTGGGATCAACTGATTCTTTACGTGGTATCAGAGTTTTCTGTGATCGAGATGTCTTGTGTTTGAATTCTAATGATCCCATTTGTGAAGCACATGGTATTTTTATATGCAGACTTGTGCAAACGAAAGTTCTTATGAATTGACTGGCTTTCGTTTGAGAGGGTGTGTTATTGAGTGGTAGAACACTCAATATTAAACCTCTCCCAACAACTCGAGTTATTGAGAACAACTAAATAATCGGGTGGGTACGGATCAAGACAGGTCGACTCATGCTCATTATATACCTTTTCCATATTCTTTTATATTATCCAAACCTATTAAAATGATATTAATTAGCCAAATCTTTCGTAATGCATCAAAATATTAGCCATTTTTACGTTATCATAAATAATTTTATAACTCTTTTATTAGTTAAAATACTAAAATTTTGGAATGTCGATCTTCATGTGTCTATTCCAAGTTAATATCATGTTGCCAAGTCAATATTATCAACAAAATTGCTAGCTGAAAGTTAACATTTTGCTAATTCTTAGTATTTCGATAGATTTGCATAATATAAAAAAATAAAAAAAAATAGATAACAAATAGACATAATCCTTTAACAATAAAAACAAAGTAAAATTCGCGTACAAATGAAAAAAAATAAAAATAAAGACAACAAGTAGATTAAATGAGTCCATTGATCGAGAGAGTGAAGGAAAATGAAGACAAAATCTCCTGCATATCACGATGTCAAAAGTTGAATCAATTATAGTCTAAATTTGATTAAAATATTAGACTAATCTAAATCATGTCATGTACTAATTCATACTTTCACCAAAAATTCCCTCAATTATATCACTTGTTCATTCGAAACATCGAAACAAACACTTACAAACTAACCTTTATTTGAAACAAATTAAACACTAGGGGTGGCTATACGATCCGAGTTATACGATCCGATTTCGGGTAAAACCAAAAAATCCGGGACCAAATAGCCAACCCTATTAAACACTCCCACAATTTCATCTGGTTTGTTTGAGATAAATGGCACGAGGCGGCTTGATTGATGGAGGACTACTGCCTTTTCCTTTTTGTTTCTTTCTTTCGTTCGTTCTCTCTCTTTCCGCCGGGAACTCTGGCCGGCCGGTGGTGGGGGATATTACTAGTCGGCAGTGCTGTGTAGGCCACCGTTGGTATTTGAGTGAGTGGTGGAAGTAAAGCTGAAATCTACAACACAAATATATCTATGATGGCACATGGAGCAAATCCAACCAACCTAGCTAGTAGGGCTGGCTATTTGATCCTGGTTATTTGGGTTTACCTGAAATCGGATCATATAATCTGGACTGGGACCGGACTCGGATAGCAAACAATCCAATCCAATTTTCGGGCTTAGATTTGAGGTAAAGAACCGTTTGAGACCGGATAAAGGCCGGATAAGAGAGCCCAACACCAAAATTTAACCAACTACTCACCCTTTGAGTCCTCAGGCCACTCAAATCCCCACAAAGTCAATCTAAAATCAAGACCGAATTGGGATCGGACCGGGTCAGGACCAGTCCGGACTGTATCCAATCCAATCTTTGGTCCTTATATTCCAAAAAAGACCGGACTGGGACCGGATCAATTCGGGGCAATTTAACCGGACCGGTCCGTATAGTCACCCCTACTAGCTAGCTACTCGTTGACTAATTACAACAGTACTAACGTTAATCTCCTATTGGCTTAACCGTACAACTACTTTGGCCGCCGTTTGTTCACAAAGATCTGGTGGGTTGCATATGCAACCGGTTTGGTGTCGAAGAATAATGCGTTGATTCATTGGATGATTCGATTAAATTGTCATATGATACATATAGATATTGGATCGGTTTCACATGTATGCTAATGATTTTGGGTTTGCATTGAGTTTGAATTAGGTAGAATTTGAGTAAACTCATTTGGTCGGATCCAAATAGGTCTATTTGAGTTAGGGGTGACTATTTAGTTTTACCCGAAACCGTATTTTAGGTCCATTTTTTTAGGCACAAAAAGTATGTGTCTAAAATGGCCTTTTTGGGAGGCAGTGGGGGAAGAGAGTGGGGTGGGGGATTGATTTTCTGTAGTAAGTTGTTGAAACTTGAAAGTCAGCAAATGTCTGATTCATTTATGCGCAAGTTTCCACTATACGATTGGTTTCGTGGTATATATTGTCTTATATGTTGATGCAACAAATATGATCTTGTTAGTTTTTTTCAAATGAATATTCGATAAAATTATAATAGTAGATGATTCAAAATATGATTTTGTAGGCGACGATCAATAATTTTTTTCTTCTTCCAGAATGATAGTTTGTGAAAATTTAATTGCGAATTATATAATGTCTTGAACCTCATGTTCATCCGATAAACAAAAATTATTGTGCATTACCTTAATAAGCTTTTCGATGATTCTGATTCAGATTAAGATTATTTCCAACATATCTCAATTCCGAAATACGACGTCGCTCCGAGTCCCTTAATTCCTTAGTCCCTAAATAAATTGGGACATTATTCCTCGAGGAAATACGACGTCGCTCCGAGTCCTCATTTGCAGCCGCCGCTGGCGAACCCAACCCTCCCGCCGGCGCCGTCGTAAACCACCTCCAGCGTCTGCTGCTGCACGCTCCCTAATATCGCCACGTCCGTCGCGTTCCCATTAGCGGCGAACGCCAGGCACACCTGCGTCGGCTTGTTGGCGTACAGAATCCCGACGGCCTCGATGTCCACCTCCGCGCCGCCGGCGAAGAAAAACCCGATCTTCGGCACCACGAAATTCTTAAACTTGCTGAGGTCGTAGCAGGTGTCGAGGATCGACAGCGCCGGGCCCAGAGGGTACTTCGACATCTTCTTCCTGAACGCCGACCGGAGGGCGGAGTACGCCGCCGGCGGGAGGCGGGTGATGGCGGTGCCGGAGTCGATGATGGCGCCGGCGGCGGAGAACACGGAGGCCGAAACGGGGAGCTTTTTTCCGCCGACGCTGATGGCGGTGATGCCGATTCCGTAGAAGTTTTCGCCGCCGGCGACGCTGGCGATGGGGGTGTATTTCACGGATTTGGCGCCGGCGCCGCCGAATGTGAGGAATCCGGTGCCGCTGGGAGTGGAAGGGAGGCAGTAGGAGAAGAGATTCTTGTACTTGTCGGAGGTCTGGGAGACGAGCGACAGCGAGTTCCGGCCCAATCCGAGCACCCCGGCGGCGCCCCCGAAGTTCACTTGGATGTTTTGGCCGCACCCGAAGTAGAATTCGTCGAAGACATCGGTTTTGGTCAACGTCAGTTTCTCGGTGGCGAAGAATCCGGTGGTGATCGCTGCGCCGCCGTATTTGATCACGTACACGCACGTCGAGGAACTACAATCCCTGTTTCCTGCCGGAAATTGAAAAATTGAGATTTCGTCGTCAGTAGAATTTGAAACCATAAATCTTTCAAAATCTTTGTCGTAATCAACTATGGTAACGTACTATTATAAAAATAAAATGAAAAACTACGGTAACGTACCGGTGGCTTCAGCGAGGGCGGAGCAGACGGCGGCCTCGCAAGAAACGTTTCGGTACGTTTTGGAGGAGGAAGGGTCGAAGAAGATCTTTTCCTTTTGCTGGTGGCAAAACTTTACGCACGGCTGGCATTGCGTCCACGTGACGTCACTTCCGGTGTCGAGTATGAGGGAGAGTTTCTTGGCCGGGGTGCCGAGGCCGACGGTGACGACGTAGTTGCCGGAGCCGACGGTGCTGCTGTCCTTAGCCGGGATGGTGGTGGAGTCCGTCACCCTGACGTCGGCGCTACCGGCGGTTGCCTTTCTGGACTGGATATTCTGGACCCTGGACTCGTCCTGGCGAAGGATTTCGTCCGCGGTGGGCTTGGGCTGGTTGGCGGTGCTGGTGAGTTGTTGGGCCTGAGCGCACGGCCCGTGTTTGTGGAACACTGGCAGCTTGTTCAGCCCTACACAAAAAGGAACCAAAACCCATGAGAGATTGTCATTAGTGGAAGCCCAAATAGTAAGCTATATTATACAATAAGGTGTAGTTGGGAGCATGTTTTTATGTTATGTACGTAATTATGAGTTAAGCACTCGTTAATTATGAGTTATTACCATGAGTGAAAATTAAAGGGGGGATAGGGTGAAAGATTGCTTGAGATTGGGGCAGAATGCTGGCAGCTAGGGCGGTTAATGAACCAAGCCGCTCATGAACGGCTCGACGCGTGTGATTCGAGAAAAACTCGTTCGAAACTCGATTCGTCTTAATTGAGCCGGCTCGCGAACAAGCTCGTTAACTAAACGAGCCGAATTCGAGCCATGCCATGCTCAGCTCGAAAGCTCGCGAACAAGCTCATTCAACGTTTTGGCAAAAGAAAGGATTAGAATTCATGGATTTTATGTATTGAAATTGGGATAAATATTGTGTTTTATTTTGCTAGACTTTTCTACAGGTTTGAATGTAATTTTGTGCCCAGTCTAGGTCAATCTTGAGCTATTATGAACATTTTATGAGCTTAACTCGATTTTGGGCTCGTTAAACTTATTTGACGAGCCGAGCTTGAACCGAGCTCGAGATTTCATTTTCATAAACGAGTCGTGCTCGAGCTTGCATATTAAAACTCGTGACGAACACGAGCTGAGCTCGAGCTTGAAAATATATTAACGAGCCGAGCCCGAACTATGGCAAAGCTCGATTTGGCTCGGCTCATTAACAGCCTTACTGGCAGCCCACACAATTTAGAAGGTTCCCAATCAAGTATATATGGTAGGCTAAAGTAGTTGAACTATGGAGGATTTCACATGTCGTTTGTCCTTTTGGGTTCTTCCACAAAACAGGTAAGGTTCCAGTAAAGTCAAATTGGAGGGGTCTCTACTTTTTACTACCTAATAATTGTCCATTTCCTTTTTTCCTTTTATGACAAATTACCCTACACAGATATTATTGAAGTAAACTTCACCTATCATACAATACAACTTAGTCAAATGATTAGCCGATATTATTAAAACCAACTGCTAAACCTTTCCTTTCCTTTCCATTATATAATATGTAAATATTGAGTGAAAGAGTTTAGCTTGGAATCACCTTTGGTCGAAGGAGCAGGGCTGCAAGAGTCGGAAGGAAACAGCGAGGACAGCTGAACAGTGTAGAAATGCTGCTGCTGCTGCTGCTGAAGCGCACCGCCATTAGCAGTGTTCAAAGAAAGCAGAAGAGAGAAGGCGAGAGCTGTAGCAAAGAAGGCAAAGGAGGAGGATGAGGAAAAAGCAGTAGTGGTAGTGGTAGCCATTGTTTCTTTAGAACCAGGAGGATGAGGAAAATGGGAAATGTGGTCTCTGCCTGTTATTTTGGTCCCCTTTTTATAGCCCCACGAATATCAGTCTAACGTCTCTAATGCGCTTCGGGTTTTAATCAGTCACCAGCGAGAAAAGAAATTGATCATGGATTTCGATAAATTCAAAATCCGAATCACATTTGCCAGTCATAATGTGATTGTATGTATATTTTTTTTTTACAAAAAAAAATCATTTGTATTAGCAAGGACATCAAGTTACATTGTTTCACCCTTCGACCAGAGCCAAGCTCTGAAATCAGAGCTAGTATATAAATAAGGGTAGTACATGAAAAAAGTGCACGACATCATATACGTCTGCGTTCACACTTTAAAATGTACTCCAATATAATTTGGACAAATCATAATCGCCATGTACCCAACCACGATTATTTTATGGTCTGTTATCAAAACTCGTTGGTCGGCGCGAACAAGAAGATCAGTGTACATCAGGTGCATGCTAGCCTAATATACATAATAATATCTTTCTAGATTGCCTGTTATTCTAGAAGTATACCGATTTCCGACCAACATTAATTTTTACCATCTAAAATATCGAGAGCCAATTATTTTCCACAATGAAAATGTGAGAATAATATATATATGTAACATGTAGTGCCTGTGATACGATGGGGAAAGGCAAGTTGGGCGTTTGGACAGAACCCCCTTAACTAGAAAACAAAAACTATTTGGACTCTTGTTTTCCAATGACGCATATTTAAAAATCGGGTCCACGAGGAAGCCGTTATTTGTCCTGTGCATGAAAATACGGATTATCAGGTTAGTTAGTTTGAGAGGTTAATATCTTAGTTTGGCTCGAATTATAGACATACTATCTACTTTGGCACGTGGTATCGTAAATTGCTATTCTGGTCTAAATTATGTAGCATACTTTCTTATTTGGCCCGAAGGCGGGTTTGACTGTGAAATTTGACGGTCAACCGAGTTGACCGTTAGTCAAGGTCCACCTCACTTGCCACGTCAGCTATTAGGGAATAAAAAATTAATTTTGTATTTTGAATTTTTTATACTTTCTAATAATAAAAATAATAAACGAAAAAAATTACTTAAAAAAGCTCCCCAAATTATTTTTAATTAATTTTAGAAAGTAAACAAAAATTAAAAATTAAAAAAAAATTATTCCTTGATAGCTGACGTGGCAAATGAGGTAGTATTTGACTAACGGTCAACTCGGTTGACTGTCTAATTTGACGGTCAAACCCACCTCCGGGCTAAATAAGAAAGTATGCAACATAGTTTAGGTAAGAATAGCAATTTCCGATACCACGGGCCAAAGTAGAAAGTTTGTCTATGGTTCGGGCCAAACTAAGGTATTAACCCTTAGTTTGAGTGCAAGCTTTGCTAATTGATGCATCATTATCACTACTGTTTAAACCTAAGCCATATTTCCTCGATCTCCTAGCAGTTACAAGTTTAAAAGTCTTGCCAACCCACAAGCCATAGATAGATAGTATGTGATTTTCGCCGGTCAAACAAACACCTACAATCCGGCGACAATTAGTGAGTGGTATAAGATCCATTATAATATTGAACCTCTCCTAACAATTCGAGATACTGTCTTACTGGGATAGTGGGATAAACTAGTTCTTGATATGGTATCAGAGCCTTCTATGATCGAGATGTGATGCTAAAATTTGCCCGGGAGAATGAAGGAAAGGAAGACAATAAATATTCTAATTGAGTCCATTGATAGGAAGAGTGAAGGAAATTAAGACGAAGTCTCTTTCGATGCTAAAATTTGAATAAAGTGTAGTCTAAATTGATTGAATTATGAGACTAATTGTTACGTATATTCTTCTTCCCTATTAATTATTGTTCTTATTATTATTGTTGGATGAGATTAGGTTAGTACGTGAGTAGTTTCTAGGTGTCATTAGGATTGCTTTTGAGAGTGGAGTAGGCGGCAAGTCACAATCTCCTAATAGGATTAGGATTAGGATTATTGTCATAAACCAGTTGGTCCCAATAACTCGAGTTGTTGGAGAGAGCGGATCTGGTGACTAAGGGGGGGTGCTTAGTCACTTGGCTAAGCCCCCCTCAGCCATTGGATCCTTATTAATTGATCTAATGGAGGAAATAAGGGAAGGGATGATTAAATAATGAGAGGGGCAATTTTGGGATTATGAAAATTTTATTTAATTTTTTTTTTCTCCAGCCAGTCTTCTTCTGCGTATGATGGAAGAACGCCGCCCATGAGAGAGAGAAGGGGAGAACGCCGGCGATGATGGAAGATCGACGGTGCCGGCGACGACGACAATGGAGATCGACGGTGCCGGCGACGACGAAGAGAGGGAAAGGAGAACGAACGTACAGAGGCGACGGCTTTGAAGAGAGAGAAAGCAGATCTCGTCGTCGGGAAACCAGAGGAGAGAGAGAGACAATGGAGAGGCGGCGGAGAGAGAGCGCCGGCGACAATGGAGGAGAGAGGCGGCGCGACGATGGAGAGAGAGAGAGAGGTTGCGATGGCAGTAGATTGAATCAGCGGCGGCAGCGGTGGAGAGAGAGTCGACGGCGGCGGCGGCGGTGAAGAGAGAGTCGTCTGAAGGAAGAACAGTGATTTGTATAGTTTGTATGTTTTGTAACATTAGTTTGTATTGTTAGTATTTTTGTACAAAATGTCAGTATGGTTTGTATGTTTTTCTTTGACAGTTTGTACTCTTAGTATGTTTTTCTTTGACAGTTTGTACTCTTAGTATGTTTTTCTTTGACAGTATGGTTTGTATGTTTTTCTTTGACAGTTTGTACTCTTAGTATGTTTTTCTTTGACAGTTTGTATTCTTAGTATGTTTTTCTTTGACAGTTTGTATTCTTAGTATGTTTTGCTTGTATTCTTAGTATGTTTCGCTTTGTATTGTAAGTACTAATAATTTGTATACTTTATATGTATTGATTTGTGATGCAAAAAACATTACAAACATGGTTGACAAAAATGTGGACAAAAATAACAAACATTACAAACAGTACAAAAGAAACCAACAAACATTACAAAATAACAAACATTACAAACATCGCAAACAAACATTACAAACAAACATTACAAACAGTACAAAGCATACTACACGTACAAAATATCACTACTTACAATACAGATTGGTAAACTTGTATTACAAACAAATGAATACAAAGTATACAAATCATAACATAAAAGTATACAAACTTGAATAACAAAAGTTACAAATACAAATCAATGAATAGAAAGTGTATAAATCATAACATAAAGTATACAAACTAGACAAACAAACATTACTAACATTACAAACAGTACAATGTATACAAAATAGTAATATAAACATTACAAACATCACGAACTCAAATACTGTTGTCGGAAAACCATCCACCACCGTCTCTGGTCGCCGGAAAATTGCTTCGCCGTCGCCGGAAAAGCTCTCTCTCTCTCTCTCTCTCTGGGGGGAATAATAATGGCGCCAGGGAATGGAATAATGGCGGCGCCTCTCTCTGGGGAATAATAATGGCGCGCCCATTCTTTCTTCGTCTCCGGTGGCGGCGCACCGAGAGGGGAGTCGACGCAAAAATTTCCGACGGCGGCGCACAGAGAGTGGAGGCGCACAGACTTTTTTTAATTAAAAATTAAAAATAAACATGAGATTACTATATTACCCTTCATTAAATTGGACTAATAGGAGCCCTTGGATTTTAATGAGATTGAGTGGCTGAGATTCACTTAGCCATATGACTAAGGGGACCCCCCTTAGCCACCTGATCTCAGCCCGTTGTTGGGAGAAGGTTATACTGGATCATATTGTTGGGATTTGAAAGGTGTGAATGAGAATGAAAGGGGAAGAAGCCAATAGTTGGTGAGTTATTGGTTAAACCAAGTTGAACCGAATCGGACCAAACCGATGTGGCGGTTGGAATGAACCAACCGGTCCAACTACTATGGCGAACCGATGCAATGGTTGGGGTGTAACCACCCACTTGAAGGGTCACATCCCTTCACTGAACCATTGCAATGGTTGGGGTGTAACCACCCACTTGAAGGGTCACATCCCTTCACTCGCACCCCTTCATTATCTATAAATAAACACCTACCCCCCTTTGTTTTCGACACAAGATTTTTCCCAAGAAATTTTTCTGGCCAAAAGATAAAAGAATTTTTCATTCTTCATTGCATTTCCTCTCTACAAACTCATAAAGGAAAACAGAGTCGTGTGACTTCTCTCCGATCGTTGCGTTCGTCGGATTCTGGTGTTTCAAGTACCGGTACAGCCAGAAAAGGTACGTCCGTTCTATCCTGGGAGGAATAGTTCCAATAACCTTGGGTACCGTAGAGGGGAACTAAATTCCTTAAGGAGAAATAGTGAATTCTATTGGCTCGGGCGTTGTTTATGCATGTGTCGATTTCTATATATGACTTGTGTGGCAAGAAACATATTTTTGTGAATCGTTTTCAATAACAATCTTAAGGAATTTATATTGGTTTTATTCACGTGGACTGTTTCTTCACAAAGTTAATATAGGCATCTGTTTGTCATAGTAATTATGCATGTATAGGATTCTGTTTGTATTAGGAATTAATAGAACAGTGCATGATTTTGTGTGAAATATATATATATTTGGCGCTGTGTTTATATTGTTACTGTGTCTGTATATCTCTGCCTATTTATTCTGGGCGAGCATGATAGAGTGGCTGGATTCATGTATATAATCGCCTCTGTCTATTGATATATATATTGTTTCTATAATTGATTTGCTACTGTTTCAATATTGATTATATATAATTCTGTTGTGATATATATTGCGGTCATATATATTTATTCTTTCTTTGGAAAGAGTGTGATTTCCTACTGCGGACGAGTTTAAACCTTTTCGGTTTTCTACTCGTGGGTATTAGTGATTACTAATACGTGTTGTGGTTTCTATTTCTAGAGAAAGGAAATAGTGAAGAACAAAGATGTCTTCTGGTTCTGGAATAAATGGGGAGAACCCAAATCCGGTAACATCAACTCAAAGTACTCCACTTCAAGTTGCTACTCACTCGCTTGCACCGGCGGAGAAACCCGGAAAGTTTTCCGGTGTAGATTTCAAGCGTTGGCAACAAAAGATGTATTTCTATCTCACTACTTTGGGACTTCAAAAGTTCATCAAAGAAGAGATCCCAAATCCTAACGAGGAAGTGCCAGAGAAAGATAGATTTCTTGCAGTTGAAGCTTGGAAACATTCTGACTTCCTTTGCAAGAATTATATTCTAAATGGTCTAGATGATATTTTGTACAATGTCTATAGCACCATAGGGACCTCTAAGGAATTATGGGAGGCGCTAGAGAAGAAATACAAGGCCGAAGATGCAGGATTGAAGAAATCCATTGCGGCTAAGTTTTTGGAGTATAAGATGGTTGATTCCAAGGCCGTTGTGACGCAAGTCCAAGAGCTTCAGGTAATTACTCATGATCTTCTTAATGAAGGAATGATTATTAACGAAGCTTTTCAAGTTGCTTCTTTCATAGAGAAGTTGCCTCCCGCATGGAAGGACTTCAAGAGTTACCTAAAGCACAAGCGTAAGGAGATGACGCTTGAGGACCTAATTGTCCGTCTAAAGATTGAAGAGGACAATAGGTTGGCCGAGAAGAAGAGCCGTGGACAATCGACCATCTCTGGTGCAAACATTGTGGAGAGTGACTCCAAGGGAAAGAAGAGGAAGAGAAACTCTATCCCAAGTTCTTCCGGTACAAAGAACCACAATGGTAACAAGAAGATTAATGGTAATTGTTTCAAGTGTGGGAAACAAGGGCATAAAGCCTCGATGTGCAAGACCCACAAGAAAAAGAAGAACAAAGGTCAAGCTAATATTGTTGATGATATGGATATGGATGACCTTTGTGCCGTTCTTTCTGAATGTAACTTGGTAGGGAATCCAAGAGAATGGTGGATAGACTCTGGCGCTACCCGCCATGTTTGTGCAGTCAAAGAGATGTTCACTTCCTACTCTTTGGCTAAGGCGGAGGAGAAATTATTCATGGGGAACTCCTCGACGGCCAAGGTCGAGGGATATGGAAAGATTGTCTTGAAGATGACATCGGGCAAGGTTGTGACCCTCAACAACGTCCTCCATGTACCGGAAATTCGCAAGAATTTGGTGTCTACCTCGCTTCTTGTCAAGCACGGATTCAAGGTTGTGTTTGTTTCCGATAAGGTTGTAATTAGCAAGAATGATGTGTATATAGGAAAAGGTTATCTTAATAATGACCTTTTCAAGCTCAATGTAATTACCGTGAACGATGTTATTAATAATAATAATAACGCTTCTTCCGCGTATTTACTTGAGTCGAATTATTTGTGGCATGCCCGTTTGGGACATGTGAATTACAAATCCTTACGGAAAATGATAAACATGGAAGTGTTGCCCAAGTTTGAATGCAATAAATCTAAATGTCAAGTGTGTGTGGAATCAAAGTTTGTGAAACATCCCTACAAGTCGATAGAAAGAACTTCTGAACCATTGGACTTGATTCACACTGACATTTGTGACATGAAGTCGACACCATCTCGAGGTGGGAAAAAGTACTTCATAACATTTATCGACGATAGCACTAGATATTGCTATGTATATTTGCTAAGTAGCAAAGATGAAGCGATTGATGCATTCAAACAATTCAAAGCAGAAGTTGAGAACCAACTCAACAAGAAAATAAAAATGGTCAGAAGTGATAGAGGTGGTGAATATGAATTTCCATTTGAAGAAATATGTCTAGAAAATGGAATTATTCACCAAACATCGGCTCCATATACCCCACAACAAAATGGAGTTGCGGAAAGGAAGAACCGAACTTTGAAGGAAATGACGAATGCTTTACTCCTAAATTCGGGTTTACCTCAGAATTTGTGGGGGGAAGCTATTCTTACTGCTACACAAATACTCAATAGAGTACCGTACAGTAAGACGCAAACCATTCCGTATGAAAAATGGAAAGGTAAAAGACCAAACTTGAATTACTTCAAAGTGTGGGGGTGTTTGGCAAAGGTTCGAGTACCAAAACCAAAACAGGTCAAATTGGGACCTAAAACGATAGATTGCATCTTTATTGGTTATGCCAATAATAGCAAAGCATATAGATTTTTGGTCTATAAATCAGAAATCTCTGATATCCATCCTAATACGGTTATAGAATCTGATAGTGCAGAGTTCTTTGAGAACATATTTCCGTATAGGAATAAGGATGTAGTCGTTGGAGAAAGATCCAAGCGACCTCGGGATGATTCATTGGAAAATGATTCCAACATTGATGAGCCACGACGTAGTAAACGTCAAAGGGTGCCTACGTCATTCGGTCCCGATTTCTTAACATTTTTGTTGGAAGATGAGCCAAAGACATTTGAAGAAGCGATGAAGTCTTCTGAAGCTCAATATTGGTTGGAGGCCGTCAATAGTGAAATTAAGTCCATTTTGAATAACCACACATGGGAATTGGTGGATCTTCCTCCCGGTTGCATACCATTGGGATATAAATGGATCTTCAAAAGGAAGTTGAAAGCTGATGGTACTATTGACAAGTACAAGGCAAGACTTGTGGTCCAAGGATTTAGACAAAAGGAAGGCCTTGACTATTTTGATACATACGCCCCAGTCACAAGAATTACATCTATTCGGATGCTAATTGCTTTGGCTGCCGTGTATGGTCTACAAATCCATCAAATGGATGTGAAAACGGCCTTTCTAAATGGCGACCTGGAGGAAGAAATCTACATGAAACAGCCAGAGGGATTCGTTGTCCCTGGACAAGAACATAAGGTGTGCAGATTGGTGAAGTCCCTATATGGACTTAAACAAGCACCCAAACAATGGCATGCTAAATTTGACGCAGTTATGTTGTCAAACGGTTTTCGGATTAACGAATGTGATAAGTGTGTATATATCAAGAACACACCTAATCACGAAGTCATTGTTTGTCTATACGTAGACGATATGTTGATAATGAGTAAGAACGTTACTGACATAGAAGAGACAAAGCGAATGCTATCAAGATCTTTCGACATGAAAGACTTGGGTGAGGCGGATGTTATTCTTGGAATAAAGATATCTAGAACGCCTCAAGGTCTAGCATTATCGCAATCTCACTACATAGAGAAAATTCTTGATAAATTCAAGTATTTGCATATCAAAGACGTGCACACGCCGATTGATCCAAACCTTGTTCTTACAAAGAACGAAGGTAAAAGTGAATCTCAAGAGGATTACGCACGAGTTTTGGGATGTCTAATGTACATCATGAATAGTACTCGACCAGATATTGCTTGCGCAATAAGTAAATTGAGTCGATATCAACGTAATCCAAATAGCACATATTGGATGGCAATGCGGCGTGTTTTGGGGTATTTACAACATACCAAAGATTTTGCTTTGCACTACAAAAGATATCCGGCAGTGCTTGAAGGATATTGTGATGCAAATTGGATCACCGGCTCAACCGAAATCAAATCCACTAGCGGATATGTATTTACGGTTGGTGGGGGAGCAGTATCTTGGAGATCCTCCAAGCAGACTTGTATTGCCCGATCCACAATGGAATCGGAGTTCATAGCTTTGGACTTAGCCGGTGAAGAAGCGGAATGGCTTCGGAGCTTCTTGGAAGATGTTCCGTTTTGGCCCAAGCCGTTAACCCCAATAAGCATACATTGTGATAGTCAAGCGGCTATTGGAAGGGCGAAAAGTGTTATGTATAATGGAAAGTCTCGTCACATACGTCGACGACATAACACAGTGAGACAATTAATCTCTAGTGGAGTTATCTCGATCGATTATGTAAGATCAAAAGATAACGTGTCGGATCCGTTAACTAAAGGCCTAACTAGAGCATTAGTTGAGAAGTCATCGAGGGGAATGGGACTGTGGCCTAGGACAAATCATCATGGCGGTAACTCTACCTAATTAGGATTGGCAGACCCAACCTCTAGGTTCAAGGAGAAACAAAGTTGTGATTGATGGTCCGACATTGTCAAATTATTTAAAGTCCATTCTCATGATGCGACAATGTCCAAAATATAAGGGTAAACCTAAATATGAAAGGTTTTTAATGGTTTCTAAGTTTGACACGTGTTGTGATCAAATAGTGTATTTTCGGAATACATGTTTAGAAATCACCTATGTGAGTGTGAAGTGTAGCCGCTTCAAGGAGAATAAAAGAAGGCCAATTCTCTATGCACTCATGAAACCAGGCGGTGTTCATGGCTGAAACGAACACAACAATGAGAACCAACGAGCGGATAAGAGTTGGTTGTGTGACATATGTTGTCTTAGTATACAAGAAAACCGACGGTTCAAAGATATCATATCTACCGATTGGTGAGTATACTCGATATATGTTCACTAGGGAAGGTTCAAAGGGAAACCCACCTATCCTAATACAACTAATTCTTAGTTGAGAGTCACACAGTTTTTTTGCATAGTTTTCAAAACTTAGCATTCTCTTTCATGTGGGGGATTGTTGGGATTTGAAAGGTGTGAATGAGAATGAAAGGGGAAGAAGCCAATAGTTGGTGAGTTATTGGTTAAACCAAGTTGAACCGAATCGGACCAAACCGATGTGGCGGTTGGAATGAACCAACCGGTCCAACTACTATGGCGAACCGATGCAATGGTTGGGGTGTAACCACCCACTTGAAGGGTCACATCCCTTCACTGAACCATTGCAATGGTTGGGGTGTAACCACCCACTTGAAGGGTCACATCCCTTCACTCGCACCCCTTCATTATCTATAAATAAACACCTACCCCCCTTTGTTTTCGACACAAGATTTTTCCCAAGAAATTTTTCTGGCCAAAAGATAAAAGAATTTTTCATTCTTCATTGCATTTCCTCTCTACAAACTCATAAAGGAAAACAGAGTCGTGTGACTTCTCTCCGATCGTTGCGTTCGTCGGATTCTGGTGTTTCAAGTACCGGTACAGCCAGAAAAGGTACGTCCGTTCTATCCTGGGAGGAATAGTTCCAATAACCTTGGGTACCGTAGAGGGGAACTAAATTCCTTAAGGAGAAATAGTGAATTCTATTGGCTCGGGCGTTGTTTATGCATGTGTCGATTTCTATATATGACTTGTGTGGCAAGAAACATATTTTTGTGAATCGTTTTCAATAACACATATAACACTCTTTAACACGCCCCCTCAGACGAAAGCGCCCCCTCAAACGAAAGCCAACCCATGGGCTTGAAGTTTGCACAGGTCCACCATGCCATGTGCCTGAAAGACAACGATTAATATTGGGGGTCGTGGAGATTCGAACACATGACCTTTCGGTTCTAGGCTCTGATACCATGTCATAAACCAGTTGGTCCCAATAACTCGAGTTGTTGGGAGAAGGTTATACTGGATCATATACCACTCTCTAACAATTATAGCCCTATAAATATTTACGTACATTGTCTTTGGTTTAATGCTATGTTGAAGATTGGAATCCAACAGTAGTTGTAGTTATCTTCGTTCATATATTCTTTTATTTTAACTGTCTTTCTTACGAATATCTTTTAACATCGACGACGCACCTTACGTGTTAGGTGAAAGTTCTCACGAGAGAAATACACGCAACACTAATCTACTGCCTTTTCCTTTTTGTTTCTTTCTTTCGTTCTCTCTCTTTCGCCGGGAACTCTGGCCGGCCGGTGGTGGGGGATAGTACTAGTCGCAGTGCTGTGTAGGCCACAGTTGGTATTTGAATGAGTGGTGGAAGTAAAGCTGAAATCTACAACACAAATATCTACGATGGCAGGGAACAAATCCAACAACCTAGCTTTTGTTGCCTAATTACCACAGTACTAACGTTAATATCCTTTTGGCTTAATTCACAATGAGCTTGCAACCGGTTTGGTGTCAACGTGATTATGGGTAGCTAGGCTTCATGGGCTAATTTCATTGAATTGTGAGGATTCTTATGGATACTGGAACTGACTCGAATGAATTCATATACATTGGAATGCGTTAGGGTGGTAACTAAAATTTTAGTAGCCATCGTGGCTACATCATTATCTGCCGTCCAATTTAATTTTATTTTCATTTTTTTAATCTCATGGTTAAGATTACGTCAGGGTAATTTTGAAAACGAAAAAGAGTCCACACCGAATTATTCTATATATTCTACCCAAATCCTACTTCTACACTCCCCTCCCTCCAACCAAACCCTACTTCAGACGGCTGTCGACTGCGGGTTGCCCAGCCTCCATCCCTCTCCCCTCCGACCACCTCCCTTCGACGGCCGTCCCTCCCCCTCCTTCCCGATCCCCTCTCTCTCTTCCATCTGTTCTTCTTCAGCAAATAGAACCTCCCCACTAATAATACCTAAAATCCAATCCCCTTCCCCCTGTCTCTCTCCTTCTGTTCTTCTTCAACAAAAATGACGAATGGGATAAAGTTTTTTTTTTGGGAATTCGAGTGCAATAACAGAACAACTTATTTTTTATTGGTATGTACTTTCTCGCATTGGTAGTATTTTTTTCCCCGTAATGGTAGTGTTTTTTTTGCATTGGTATTGAAAAGGTGGGATGAATAAAAACTCTAGATCTGATTTTTTTCGCATTGGTAGTGGTTTTTTCGTATTGGTAGTGATTTTTTTCGTAGTGGTAGTGTTTTTTCGCATTGGTATTGTTTTTTAGCATTGGTAGTGATTTTTTCGTAATGGTAGTGTTTTTTCGCTTTGGTATTGTTTTTTCCGCATTGGTATTGATTATCATGTAAGTGTATTGCTTTTCAGTGAAATGGTAGTTTTTTTTTGTAGTGGTACTGTTTTTCACATTGGTATTTTTTTTGCATTGGTATTGATTATTATGTAATGGTATTGATTTGCATGTATTGATAAATCTGCAATAGTATTGGCGTTTTGTGAAATGGTAGTGTTTTTAAAAAAAGGAAGAGAGATCTGGCTGGAGATTGTGGAAGTGAGAGAAAGAGAGAGAGAGAATTGTAATTAATATATTTTTGCAACTTCCTAAAATGTAATTTGTTAAAAAAGATAATTAATAATTTTTTTGTCATACCCAGTTTGTCCTTAGTAACCACGGTGATTACTATTTTATAGTAATCACCCTAACCTGTCCCCATATACATTGATACGTGTTGAAATCGTATGAGCGAATGGATCCCTTTTCTTGGCGGGATTGAGCCAGTTCTCTCTTTTCTTGGCGAGAAATTACCAGGGGGTTTCTTTGCTAAAATTCTGCTTACTGTTATTGAATCTAATCTCAACTTAAATACACAAAGAAAATGGAAAAGACCTATCTAATTAGTGCAACTAACCCCACGTTCATCTAACTATGAACTCCTAAACTAACTCCACTAATTGTGTAAACAACCCAAAAGAATCTAACAACTAATGCCGACTCACTCAACTAACAACCATATTCAATTAAAAGAGTTCTCCTACGGCAACAAGCTTATGTTGAAATGGGCTGGCTACTCCATGTAGTTTCGGTAGCGATGTTGGGCTGCGTCGGGCTGCAACACTCGAAGATGAATGATTTATGGGCTCATCATTACCATCCCCTGAAAAAACAGCCTTGTCCTCAAGGCTGAGTTCAATGAAGCGATCATCGAAAATGGAAGCCAACTTGCAGGTAGTATCGTTGATGAAATGCGGCCTTCCAAGACCCGATTCCATTCTTGACCCATACCCGTTAGTTGTTTGACCCATGAGTCAACCCATATAGCTGAACCGGTCTTCCCATCACCTTCCTGAGCTCGGTCACCCCTTTTCAGCCGGTTCACCCGCTCCTCGAATGATGCCACTCGCCTGCTCACAACCTTCGACCACAACAGGCGCTTCCTGAAACACTTCCAGTTCCAACCCGAGATGATCCTCGTGATCACCCCGTTGTATATTGGGGTCTTAAAGTTTGGTTGGTCGGGATTGTCAACCGAGGAGACCGTCGATTGCTCTGCCGATAGGGGCAAGGAAGAGTCGATCTCTATGGACTCATAATTGTCGTTACCAGCGGCGGCAGTAAATTCGACCTCGCGCTTCTGCTTGTAGGACTTGCCACCTAATCCTTGCCCTTTCCTCGCTGGGAGCTCAAGCTTCCCTTTCTTTAAAGTGAGAGCCCTGTTGGCTTTACCCTTTTTCCTTCTCTTCCATCAGTAGAGAAATTCACAATCAACCCCATATAATCCTACTAGCGCTTCACATTTCTTTCTGAACTTCCAAGGCTTTATTTCGCCCAATATTATTCTTCCTCTAAATTGCATAACATACTTGGAAATTATGTTGATATCCATTGATAGGACATACCCTTGTATTTGTCGATGATCCGTAACCAACAAAGTTTGCAGCTTTCCCATATGATCATGCTTTACGGTGAGGCGTAGGGTAGCAGGAGCGGCCTTGACAGTTGATTTGAGCGGTGACTTTGGTTCAACGACGAGGGATGGTGATTCCGTTGTGCGCAGAGGTGGGGAGATCAGCGACGCAGCGAGCTGCGTTGGAACTAAGGTGGAAGTGATGGGGAATGGATTCACCTTCACGGTAACAAAGGTCTCAACTTGTGACAGCAATGGCTTTGCGGCATCGGCGGCGGCGTCGTCTTCTTCCTCTTCCTTTATCGAGTCTGCTAGAGCTTCAGCTAGCGATGGTGGCGGTGCGGTGGCTACAGGTGGGAGGACGATCTTCGCCTCTCCCATGGCGGTCAGGGTCTCGACTTGCGGCCTCGGTGGTGTTGTTGCTGACTTGTGTTTGTCATACGTCGCAATGATCATGCGACAGGTAGCCATGACACGCTCTATCTGCCTGAGTGCCTGATTAATGAGTTCCTCCTCCCTCAATGGTCTCTTTGAGCTCATCGTGATCGAAATCCGGATCAACAGCTCTGATACCAAATGTTACGTGTTGAAATCGTATGAGCGAATGGATCCCTTTTCTTGGCGAGAAATTACCAGGGAGTTTCTTTGCTTAAATTCTGCTTACTGTTATTGAATCTAATCTCAACTTAAATACAGAAAGAAAATGGAAAAGACCTATCTAATTAGTGCAACTAACCCCACGTTCATCTAACTATGAACTCCTAAACTAACTCCACTAATTGTGTAAACAACCCAAAAGAATCTAACAACTAATGCTGACTCACTCAACTAACAACCATATTCAATTAAAAGAGTTCTCCTACGGCAACAAGCTTATGTTGAAATGGGCTGGCTACTCCATGTAGTTTCGGTAGCGATGTTGGGCTGCGTCGGGCTGCAACACTCGAAGATGAATGATTTATGGGCTCATCATACATTGTTTATGATTTTGCGTTTGTACTGAGTTTAAATTGGGTACAATTATAAGTCAACTCGTTTGGGTCGGATCAGATCTATTGAGGTTCAGACGATTTGTACACACAAAGTCATATATCGATGAATCTCACTAAGTGTCTTCGGCTTGATTTTTTTTTTTGTCAAAAGATATCATATATTGATGTTGACATTTCCACATTTTCAGGTTGTTTGGATATAATTCTGTTGGAAAATGAATTCCATTTCTTGTGAGAATCTGAATTCAAGTGGGAATTCATTTTAAAATTTTATGTTTGGAACAAATCCAAAAGTTTGGAAAATGATTTCATCTTTTTATGTTTGGAAAAAATGGAAATGATTTCTTACAAGTGCTTTTACAATAATATCCTTGGTATTAATGATTTCAAATTCAAAAGTAGTAAGGGTTTTCTTGTAAATGTGAGTCAAAATTACTGTGGGTTCCACTAATTTCTTCACTACCTCCACCAATTCCGACCACTTTTGGTAGGATTTAGAATTTCCAACTTTTTACTTTTTGGAATTCCATTTCCTCCAAAACTTAGCCTTTCCAAACAGGCTATTTGTTTGTTTCGCAACACAGAAAAATTGCAAAAAATCGTATTAAATCAAGTACCCGTTTTCTTTTGGGTAACTAATATTTTGGGTACAATTTTGATCCAAACTAAAAAGTTGGGTATGATGACTTATGAGTATCACCAAAAATGATATTGCATAAATATGATTTGACTCCTAATAAATTGATTTTTGACCAATGTTGTCAAAACCGAACCGGAGAATGACCCGGTAATGCGAACGGCTCGCACTTTAGTGGTCCAACCGGCATTAGACCGTTTAAAAATCGTTAGAGAACCGGTACCTGATAAACTTTATCAGTATAAAATAGTGGACATTTCTTAATCATAGCTCATCTCTTTCCTTCGAAATTGTGAAATGGAAATAAGGATTCAGTTTGAGAGCTGGGCGTTTTTGGTTTATTTCAATTTTCAATTTTTTTAATTAAATATAGTGGCTGAATGGCAAAAACCGGAAGAGCGGCTCGAACGGTTAACCGCCTCGGCCGCTCGCCAGCCGCTACATAAAACCGGAGCGGCTTTTAAACTGTTCCGAGCCGATTTTGTGACCGGGTGGCGGTTTTACTGGTCGGGCCGAGCGGCTCGGCTTTAATAGCACTGATTTTGACAATACTCGAATTTTGGGTCTTTATGGTCATCCCTAGCCAACATAATGACTTTCTTTTGGTAGTGAATTGCTGAAGTCGAACATGAAAATAGATCTTCTCTATCCTACTTTTTTTTTACCACATTTTCCCCGGGTAATTTGCAAGATTGGTCACTAGAATTATTAAAAAAGTTTATGTTTGATCACTAGAAATATTTAATTCCATTCGTGGTCACTAAAATTAGTAAAACAATTCAAGTTAAGTCACTCTCCGTTAACTTCTTACTTCTGTTAGTCTCCGTTAACGGCGTCAGTTTTTAGATGACGTGGCTAACAGACATGTATGGTCACTCAATTTAACCCGCCACATCATATAACCTGACCCGCCACATCATGCCCACTACATAATCTAACCCAACCCAATTTAACCACCGACCCAACCCTCTCTTCTTAACATTTTAGGTGAAATTGACCGAAATCTCGCCGACATCACAGACCCTTCATCGTGGTTTGTAACACCAACAAGGAAGAGGATTGGCCGCGGCCAAAGTCACTGCTCCACCGATCTCACTCTCCTCCTCCATGCTTTTCTCCTCCCTCAAGCCCCTCCACCTCCAACTGACAGATCCAGACGATTCTTCGTCACCAAATCCCCCGCCGTCGCAGTACCCTCAACCATCGTTGAGATCTCCATTGGCTACAAGCTCCCCGACGCCATGCTCTTCTAAGCTCTCTGGTGGCAATCTCCGTGACCCCTCTTACCAGACAGTGGCTAACATCTTCTCCGACGCCTATCGATCTCTGCCTCCTTGTGGGATTGAATCATCGCTATAGATCTAGATTTGAGACTGAGTTGGCGAGTAGCAGAAGCGGCTTCAGCTTCCTCGTTTCAATTTGGCGACTACATTCGTTCGTGAATTCGAAGAAATAGAAAGACCTTGGAATCTCTCTTTCTCATCATCCATATCGTCGAAGTTACACGGTGATGGAGGTCTGGCTATAGCAAGGTTGGCTCAGATCGACGATGATGGCGAGTTGGATGCTCTGTTTACGTTTTGCTTTTCTCTGGATCTTGTGAGAACCCGGATCGCGCTTGTGTAGCCAGTCGCCGTAATGGTCGGGGAAGCTTTCGCCGACGGCGAAGGAAGTGGCAGAGGAGAGTTGGGAAGTCATGGACACAGAAGCTTGGGCAGGGGAACCGTGGAGGTGCAACAAGCAGTTGAATCGACGAGACAAGGGAAGGAGAAGGAACGGAGCGGCGGCGGAGGACGAGGAAGCAACGGGAAAGGAAAATGAAATAAACCCTTATTTTGTTTGAGTGGGTCGATTTATGGGTAGGGCCATGGTTCGATCCGGTTCAAGTGCTGGGTTGGGGTGGGCAAGATGATGTGGCGGGTCGGGTTGTACTATTTTTGGGTTAAATTAGGTTGACTAGGCGATTCCGTCTGCCACGTGAGCACATAACAGTCTTCATTAACGAAGACTAACAAAGAGTGACTAAACTTGAACGGTTTTATTAATTTTAATGGCTACGAATGGAATTAAATATTTTTAGTGACCAAACATAAATATTTTTAATAATCTCAGTGACCGACCTTGCAATTTACCCCATTTTCCCATGTTATTTTGCTTATCACGCCAACTCCTTATGAAAGAATGAAAGTTTTAAACAACCAATTCAATTATATCTAGTCACTTATATATAGACACTCTATCTCCTGACCTATAGTAAAATTCGAAACGAATATGAAAATTATTCTGAATTTCTAATCGTCGCCCTAACTATTTGAATTTATCGCCCTAGATTTACACAAAGAGACTATTTTGTCCCTGATCACAAAATAACCTAATCCTAAAACTAACCCGGCCGTTAGCGTCGTACCTTTCTCCTCTCCCCAACAAAGCACCGACCCAGCCGCCGCCGCCGTGTGCTCTCTGCCCGGCGAGAAGAACCCCACCGCAAGAGGAAGGGCAGGTTCATCGCCATCTCCTGTATGTCCGACCTCTGCGCCCACCGAGGAGAGGAGAAGTTTGTCGCGTGCAGGCCTCTGCTTCCGACCGATCCCACACGCCCATCGAGTTGAGAAGACTAAATGTCACCGTTCGCTGCAGTCGTTGAAGAAGGTCGGTCGTCGCCGCTCATTGCCGTCGCCGCTCGCTTTCGTCGTTTATTTTATTTTATTTTGTGCATCTCCGACGGTATGGGTTGAAAATCCATAGCCCGCAGGCTGTAGGCAGGTTTCCCGATGTTAGCTTAGCATTCTTTATCTAGAGTTGTGTCTGATATACAATGAATTGATTGTTGTTCTGATGCTCAATTTGGACTGCGACGGATGCTTAGTTTCTTATGAATCGTTGGATAGATTTTGACTGTGCTACCGTCTGGATGTATGGTCTTTCTAACTCTTACTTTGTGGTGGCTGATTGTGGCTAATCGTTTCAATTTATCGCCCTGATAATAAACCATAAAATTAAATCAAGGACAGTTTTGTAAATTCGTATGGCTTAGGGCGATAGAATTTAAAAATTTAGGGCGTCGAATAGTAACTCCCAAATTATTATGATTGTCAAGTCAAGCCTTAGCTTTCCCTACTGACTACGGGTAATTAGCATAAATGGTAACAAACCTTTGTACTTTATACAAAACGGTCACAAATCTTTAATTTGTAACAATACGGTAATAAAACTTTGAAATTGCATAAAATGGTCACTACTATTTAATTTGTGACCGTTATGTTTTAAGTGCAAAGGTTTGTTACCGAATCGTTACAAATTAAATGTTTGTCATGTTTTGAGGTCGGGTAGTTTGTTCGTTAATTATATGACACTAACCACGTGAACGACATATAAGATGTCAGGTCATGTGTTCATCGACATATTTGCTTTGCCGAATAAGAATGCCCTCAGTTTACCTTTCAATTTCGATACCAAGAAAGTAAGAAAGTAGACAGAGTTTTTTCAACTAAAAAGCAGTCTGGAACCCGTTTGTGAGCCATTGAATTCTCTCATTGTCATCCTTTATGACGATCATATCATTCACATACATTAACAAAACCACCATAGAGCGAATTGTAACGGTGATTGAGTGTTCAAACTTTTGAACTTAATTTGTACAAAATGGTCACTAAAAGTCTAATTTGCAACGACACGGTAACAAAAGTTTGAACTGGTATGAAATGGTCACACTGTCTAATTTGTGACCGTTTTGTTCTAAGTGAAAAGTTTTGTTATCAAATGGTTACAAATTAAAGGTTTGTTACTGTTTTGTACTAAGTGCAAAGGTTTGTAACCATTTATGCTAATTACCCTACTGACTACCATATATAAATTTACTTCAACCCTTTCAATCCGCTCATTCAAATATCCGAATCAACATGAACATAATCCCATTGCAATCTAAACTTCATAAATGAGTCTGCTTGAATCTGAATGGAATCAAACCAGCACTAGTGGAAGGATAAAAAAAACAAAACGGTTAACATATCCTTGCCTTGTTTTCCCGCCATTCACATTTCACTGTTGGAGCTGGCTGCTGTAATCCGCCATGGCCACTTTCGAAAATGTCAAAAGTCATTTGTCTTTGCCCTCTCAATCAACCAACCCACGTGGATCGCTGTCCCTTACAGTAGCATGCTGCACCTGCAATTTCACTTCCTACCACAAGACAAATCGAAATCAACCCTTGACATTCGAGGCTGTAACTAACTACCAAACTTTTACCAGTCAGTTTCCGGGTAAAAAAAGGTAATGGTTCCCCGCCGCCACCGTAGTTTACGACTTTAGGCGATTCCCATTGATGGGTTGGGTTCACATTTCCCAGCAGCTAACCTTCGTGTTTCCTTCATCAATCAAATACTAAGAAAATATGAAATTGGTGTACAAATGCTGACTTGAGCCCAGCCGTCGCAGTAAATTCTTACTTGGAATGAGTACATTAGATTACACTCATCAGTCATCAGTCATCACCGTACCCACCCAGTTTCCTGATGAGGACAGTCAAATGGGAAACCCTATCTAAGTTAGCAGCAGGAGTTTCCACAGTGAAATCGGTGCTGTAGTTGTCAACGATACTGCTGCTCAGTGTTAGTCTTCTGTTTCATCAATGTCATCTATCGGTATTTCTTCAGTATTATCAACGCAAGGACCTATTGCACGTGAGCCAATTGAATGGTCAGTTTCGCTCATTGATAAATGTTTAACGAAACGGGGTGGCTTTAACGACTAGGATCCATGAACGTGAAAAGGCAGAGGCGAGGCAAGGCAAGTCATGTTTACCTCTCTGGATCGACGGACTAGGACGATGATAAGCATTCGCTGCTGTTACTGCATTTCCTTGGTCTAGCAGATATGGAAGCTCCAAAAGCTGCAAGAATGACTCCGTTTGGGGGTTCCTAAGACATTCTGCACTCCATCAAAGATAAACTTTCTATAAGACCAAACTAACATGCTGCGGAGGGAGTCGCTAATGGTTTCGACGCTTCAAGAAACATGTATATGTAGATCTAGTGATGCTGGAAATAACAAACAATCCAAACTTCTGATGTTTATGTGATGGAAATAACATGAGCATAACTAAGAATAAATTGTCATCTATTATTACCATCCCCCCTGGAGGAGCCCATTGATCGAGATTGATTGGGATCAAAAGCAGGAGCGGTTTGTGCAAATTCAAAAGGTTTTGCTCCTCTAGCTTCTAGCTTGCTCCTGACAAATTCACGGCACTCTTGGATATCTGGGGTTGTATCCCTATAAACTCACCAGGACAAGCTTTAGTAACTAGAAAAGATGAGGGGAAACTTTAGAGGAACATGAAGATGGAAGTGGATGTTGAAGGTGCAAAGTTAAATAATAATAGACCTGCCTGAAGTTTGCATTTGCTTTTGTCAACGGAAAGATAGAGTTAAACTTCCTGGTTATTGCTAGCCATTCTTCATCGTACTGGATCTCAAAAGGCCCAGAATCAGACTCTATTTCTAGAATCTGCAAAATGAATTCAATAGTATGGTTGAAAATATGGACTATCAGAAAGAATTGTTCATGGCAAAGTATAATGAATACCTGTAGGAACCTTCTCTGTGGTAGACATTTGTCGAGTGCAAGAAATTTCGTCTTTTGGCCATCTTTGCCATGATCGACGAGGGCAGCAAATTTACAGTGCAAGTGAGCTGAAAACCAATACGGGGGTTTTAACTTTTCAAGCAGTTCAGCAGCAGCTCTGTTTCCAAGGGTTCCTGCCTGAATCTGCATTTGTTTACAGACTTATGTAAGGAAATAGTGAAGGAAAACAGAGTTGCTATGGTTCTCAACATCTAGCACTTGTACCAGCAATAAAAATGAATCATAGGAGAAACATAGGAGGCATAAGAATTACCTCTTCTTCAAAGTGTGGTTTGAACCGAACAAGTTGCTGCCAGTTACCGCAATCAGTGATGCCAAGAGGCCAATCATGTGAAAGGAAGATGTCAATCGGTTCTGTAACTTGCATGAGCTTATGTACGTCGTATTCACGAACATGATACACAGATCTTATTGTGTCTTGGTTATAGGGCGGTCTTTCATCATGCCCTATCCATCCCAAAAACAAATACAATCAGATTCTAGTTGCTGACTGCAACAAGGATCAATAGAATCATATCACTATGGCAACTTTTAGCTATCTTTTTCTCAACGCATTGGATCTGATAGATGACAAAGACCAACCTTGACGATAGTGCCTGGCATTGTAAATCCCAGACAACCCACCGATACGAATGTTACCGAACTTGACCACGCCAGCACATCCCAAGAAGAATATATTAGGAGCTGCCCATCCTCCATAATATCTGAAGAACAAAGCACAAAACAAATCAATCAACCAACCAGCTAAACCGGTATCAATCAACAATTGGAGAGACCTAAGCAACAATAGGCGGCGGTACTTACAGTTCCCACATATAATTGGAAGCTTCATGATTGCCACCAATGAAAATGGTGGGAATGGGAGCAACCTCCTGGCCGGAGTAGTACTTCCAGAAAGACTTCATTTCCTTGAATTTGTGTGGCACATTCAGGCTTTGCATATCCCTCTCGTTCCTAATTGCCTGAGAGAACACAACCCAAAAGAAAAAATCAAGTCACCAGGAAGTAGTCGATGAGATGATGAAAGAAACTGATAAAAAAGAGAACAACATTAACCTGGAAGTCGCCACAGCAGAGGAGAAGGTCGACTTTGATATCCTGCAACTTCTCCAGGTGCTGGATTGTCTGGTAAACTATGTCCAGATCACCATGCATACAACCTTCCACTGCTATCTTCATCTGTCTCCCCCCTCTCAGGAATTCCTTTGAAGGGTAAGTAAAGCAAGTCAATTGAAGGCCACCATTACTATTAATCTAACAACAAATTCCGCCCAAAAGAAAATTCAAGATTCAAGGTTTAGGATAAAGCTGGTATGCAGCCAATACAGTTTTGATTTAGATGACCTAAGTTTGAACCCTATTCCATGTCAGGAGAATCAAACAAGACCACATTGATTCTGCATACGAATTCGAATACACGAATGAGGGAGAGTAAGGGAAGCAACCAGAGCCGTCTCTTAACCGCCGGAACCAAGAACGAATAAGAAGGGAATCCAACCAACAGTGAAGTCTTAAGAACGTGGGCATTGGCGCTATACAACCATCCAATCTAGTGAAGTTAAAAAGGGAGGGGAGGAAGACTTACCTAAACAGAGAGAGCGGCTTGCCTTTCGACGGAAGAAGGTGCCCGCGGACAGTTGCTCGAGAGCCTGGCAGCAATCGTCGTCCCGGCTGGGGGACGGTGAGAGTTAGAATGAGAGAGGCGGACGCGGGCGCGACTGAGGAGCCAGTGACGGTGGTGGTCGGAAGGGTTGAGGAGTCTGTAAGCCCGAGAAAGGAATCAGGAGAGTGATCCTGCGAGGACGAAGACGTTAGGGTCAGAGAAGTGCTAATCGTTGTTTCGTTTTTCCAATTTTACCCCCCTTTTGGTAACGGTGGAATTACTTTTTTCCTTGACAAAAAGATTTTCTTTTTCCCCCCTTACTAATTACTAGTAGGATACATGGTACTCAATTCGACTCACAGAAGTTGAAACTATGAATTTTGAGTCGAGAGTGGTTTAATTCGCTTTTGAAATTGGCGGGTTGTGCATGGATTTTGTCTAAACCCGACCAATTGTTCACCCAATGTGCACTCAAAGAGCAAATGAAGTCGTCGTGTATATAATCTTAATAATAATATAGATAATTTGTGAATGCTATTACTACAATGATATTATTATAGTCTTAATAATATACATTATTTATGAATGTTATTAGCCTTTATATTGATATATTCGTAAGAAAATTTTCAATAATATTAGAACGAGAGTGATCGAGAAAATTATTTTGATTTATATCCGTGCACTGCACCCATGGATAACACACGTATCCGTAAGCACCGATTGAGTTGTCTTGAGTTATCTCTTCTAAAACCCAATAAATATTTTACTATATATATTTCCGAATGTAGCCACAAAATTGGATTTTAATTAAGAAAAAACCAATGTACTATCATCTATAACAAGTTTCTTGTCAAGCATAGGCAACCACTCATAGGCGGAGGTAGGGCAGTTTGCCCTTGTTACAGGACAAAGGCAAATTTTGGGAGGGGAAAAAATAATCCTATATATGTTTGAACGGAGAATAAACTCAACATCTATAAGTAATACTAGTTTTTTACCCGGCCCGTTGGCCGGAGAGATTTATTTTATAATTTATATTAATTAACTTATTTATATGTTTAAATCATTTTGGATCTTCTAATTATTTTGTGTACTTGATTCATAACAAAGTTTGTAGTATGTCTATATTGAAAATTTCCAATATTTAGCACACTCACTTGTGATGCTTTGATTTTCTAATCATAAATTATGTCGTGTCACATCCCATTTAGAACTTATGTCGAAATTTGTCAACCAAAACACTAATATTTAGCGTATGCCAACCTAAACCACACACACATCTATATAGTTCAAGCTAGCGTGCGTCAGGAGTACGCTATACTCTTGCGTTCACACTACCATACGACCATTGAGATTTACTATTTATACCCTGAATTAACCGGAGTTTTTTGGAGCATGATACTATACCCTAACTTGGTGAACTCCAGTCCCTAATTCACTAATATCTAATTTATGCACATACTTCGTCATACCTATCTTTTATCGTATCTTGAGTAAAATCAAAAGTATAATATACGTTGCATGGTTGTCACGCCGGCCGGCGTGCCACCGGTTGTACCGGGTTCAACCGGTACCGGTCATAAAACCGGCGTGACACCACCGGTATGACCGGCATGATAATCTCTAAGTAAAATGACTTTATTTTAGAGAATTTAATTGATAAAAATTATTTTATGAGTATAAAAGTTAAATATTGATGTTATTTGTTGGATTCAAGTATAAATGTTTAGGTATTGACGTTAAATGTCTGAGTATTTATAATTTTATTTGTAATATTGACCGGCATGAACCGGTACAAACCGGTATGTGCCACCGGTTGAACCATTTCACTTGCTAAACCGGCACACTGGCATAAACCGGTTTGACAACCTTGATACGTTGATATTTTATACATATATATACATGTATGTATAGTAGACTCAAAATTATCCAGATACTTCGTCAGACCTATCTTATCTCGCCAAATACTCATATTAAGAGTACTGCTTGCCTATGCCCCACCCCCGTGATATAGATCCCGATTTTATCCCCATAACGTCAGACAACCATTGGAGGTTATGTTCTATGTTGCTATTTTTGGGCTTCTTTTCATTCTTCTTTGGCACCTATGGTTGTGATAAGAGTTATTTAGCCCCCCGAAAGGGATTGAGATTTTAGGTCCTTTGGAAATCCAATACACATTCATGATCCTCGAGTTTGGAAGAACTCTCGACCAATGTTGTAAAGATTAGGATTTTTTAGTGAGAAATTCTTAGTAAATTTTTTTTATAATGTTCTTAGTAAAGATACTTCGGTATTGGATCAATTTATTCATCTATATTGAAACTTGACACACACCGTAGCCCTCATGATGATTAAATTCTCTAATCTCGACTCATTTCCATTTCGGTTGTTAGTTTTTTTTTATCAAGACACTTAAATCTAGTATATTATACAATATGTATCAATTGTTAATTCTTGAAGTTTAGACTAAACGTCAACCTGTGGTCATTGTTTATATGTTGGTTTAGAATCTCAATCTTAGACACTCACACACACTATCGAGGATTTTGGTCTTAACATGATCGTTGAATTTGTAATTTTCAAAGATTTTATCACTTACATATTAATAATTGATAAAGAGTGTCTCCAATACACACACATTTCAATAACTGATAAGGAATCATGTGTCTCATCCTAGGGTATGAAGTCAAATTTCGTCAAAGGGATTGGGATTTTAGGTCCTTTGGAAATCCAATACACATTCATGATCCTCAAGTTTGGACGAACTCTCGACCAATCTTGTAAAGATTAGGACTTTTTAGTAAGACATTCTTAGTAAAGATACTTCATTATTGAATCAATTTATTCATCCATATTGAAACTTGACACACACCGTAGCCCTCGTGATGATTAAATTCTATAATCACGACTCATTTCCATTTTGGATGTTAATTTTTTTTATCATGACACTTAAATTTAGTATATTATACAATATGATCAATTGTTAATTTTTGAAGTTCAATCGTGGTCATTGTTTATATGTTGGCTTAGAATCTCAATCTAAGACACTCGCACACACTATCAAGGATTTTGGTCTTAACATGGTCGTTGAATGTGTAATTTTCAAAGATTTTATCACTTATATTAATATTTGATAAAGAGTGTCTACAATACATACATATTTCAAGTGCATTTAAAATGTCTTATCATTTGAACAATATCGATGGATTTCATTTGATTATTTGCATTAAATTATTATCTATACAACATATATCAATTCGTGTTTCTCGAGTTTGGACGAACTGGCAACCAATTTTGAGAGTTGAGATTACTGGATAAAGATACTTGATTGTTAGATAAATGTTTATCCCAATTGACTATCTTACTAAAATTTACCAACCTTTATTTGGTAAATGTCTAGGTTAGTAGTTGATGAAACGCGATGTTTATCGTAGATTCTCAACAAAGATTCTCTAATATTCCTTTATGTTTTTTTTCAGGGAATCTTGTGTCTCATCCTAGGGTATGAAGTCAAAGTTCGTCAACAATCATACTTAAGCCATTTTGAAAATTTTGATTTATAATCGTCGACGATAAGTTCAAGTTTGAAAGAAAATTTCTTAGCATACGACTTAGGACCTCAATAGAGCTTGCTCAATCAACATGATATAGAACAAATATTATTAATGTGAACTTAGGGCACATTATAAAATTATTGGACATGCGATTTCTCTTCATATGAGAAGTTTAAGGTAGAACATGATCCGAGGAATAAGAAGTTTTTTTTAAATAAATAACTATAACTATTCGATCAAGATTGTACTATGACATTTTGCTAAATAATACTTATTTTATTTTATAGACATATAATTTACGAATAAGAGAGTGTTTCATTGCAACAAAATATAAAGTAATATAGATTTTCATAGGCAATTGAATGTCAAATGTTTATTTTCTCTCTTTTCATATAAATTTTATTTAATTAAAAAACATTATTGTTTATGTGTATGTTTGTCTAATTTTTCCATTAGAATATAACTTATCATTCAATTTTAGTAAAAATGTGTAAAAAATTTACTTCATAAGGTTTAATCAGATATTTTTTATTTAAACAAATATGGTGTATGTTACTTTCTGTTTTCTTATTTATATTATTTTTACTGGATAAAAAAATTATTATTTATGTGTGTTTGGTTAAGTTTATCAACATGTAACCTACTATTAAAATAAAAAAAGGGGTTAAAAGAAATGGAAATATTAAAGAAGAGAGAGGTAGCTCCATAAAACATTAATAACTAATTTTTTTGTTTGTAAAAAATTTGTCCAACTTGGCAAATTGTGGATCCTTCAAGTGCTTATGTGTCAAGAGATTTGTTTTGAATTGCCATAATATATAGTATAGATAGATAGATAAGGATATGTTGACACTACACTATAATTGATTACTTGTTCATTAATTCTCAAAGAATAATTAATTTATTGGTTTCATTCATGACACTATTATTCGACAACAGATTGTTGGGTATTATAATGATTTTATGGCTGATGAGAGATTTGTTGGATTGAAAGAAATTGATAAATGATCTCAGATCATGGTGGAGACAAAAATGCATAGGTTATATCTGTCAGTTTATTTGCTTCTGAAATTAGTTTTGATACTACCAGTTGCAACTCCGAACGTAAAAAGAGCATTTTTAGATTGATATATTAAGAACAAGTTTCGAAGCCGAATTGATGATCAGGTTGTTAATGATTGTTTAGTGGGAATACCAAAAGAGGCTCACTTAAGAATGTAAACAATTAATGTATTTTGTAATTCTTTCATAATATGAAAACTCGTCGTGGTTGTTTATGCAAACAATAATTGTATTAATCGCTTATTTCTTTATCTATTAATGAATTATTTTGATATTATTAATTTTAATTTTAATTATTAAATATTTATATTTTTATATTTTGAAAAAAGAAAGGGGTAGTTCCGAATCATGGCTCCGCCACTGCAACCACTGACAACACTAATCGAGCCAAATTCCAACCTATAATAAGAGTTGAAGAAAGTGGAGGGAAACAACATATTCTTTTTTTCTGTGGCTCATTTCCGATCAAAACAATATGAGTGGTGGTGAACTGCCGACCGCGAAAACCAACTGTAAACGTGTCCCTCAAGCCGAGCCCAAGAAGAACAATGCGTGCAAGCTAATTCAGACAACACGCACGGCCGCCACCTGCCACACCTCTCCATCACCAATCTTCCCTCCTTCCACCGCTCACTTCCTTCTTCCCCTGCATCCCCAACTACCTTCGCTTCACTTCGCTTAGCAGATGGAGGGTGTCGCCATGGCTCTATCATCATCCTCATCATCATCCCTACTCCACCCATTGATCCTCTCCCGCACCAGACCCACCAACCAATATCCCTTCTCCATACCCACCTTCCCTCCTCCCGCTGTGATCACCAACTCCGCCGCAAACCGCCTTCGCCGCCGCAGCAGCAAGTGCCACGCAGTCACCACCTCGCATCCTCCTCCTCCTGCAATGGATCAAAATTCCGACAACGACGAAGCAGTGCTGTTCGGCGATCCCTTGATCGAAGCGGGGCGGAGCGAGGAGAGAGTGGCGGTGGCGGATTACGACTGGACGGAGGAGTGGTACCCGCTCTACTTCGCCCGGGACGTCCCCGACGACGCTCCGTTGGGGCTCACTGTGTTCGACAAGCAGGTTGTGGTGTACAGAGACGGAGCAGGGCAATTCCGATGTTACGAAGATCGATGCCCGCACAGGTGAGTGAGTTCATCTCTGTTTTTACCTTGAACCGAAGATTTAAGGTTTCACAATTGGTGCTCAACCTGTGAATTTTAAGGTTGGCGAAGCTATCAGAAGGGCAGATTACGGACGGGAAGCTGGAGTGTCTGTATCACGGCTGGCAATTCGAAGGAGGAGAAGGGAAATGCGTGAAGATACCTCAGCTACCTGCAGGGAGCACGATTCCCAAATCGGCCTGCGTCCGATCGTACGAGATCAGAGATTCGCAAGGAATCTTGTGGGTGTGGATGTCATCGAGGACGCCGCCGAATGCGAAGAAGCTGCCTTGGTTCGAATCGGTGGCGAAACCAGGGTACCAGGAGGTTTCGACCATCCACGAGCTTCCTTACGACCACTCCATACTGCTTGAGAACTTGATGGACCCTGCACACATTCCGATCTCCCACGATGGAACCGACACCTCGACCAGCAGGAAGGAGGCTCAGCCGCTTCTGTTCGAGGTCACCGAGCGGTCCGATCGAGGGTTTGCCGGGTACTGGGGGAGGGAAGCAGAGGGACTGACGAGCTTCCTGCGGTTCCAAGCTCCTTGTGTTCTGTCAAACGTAAGAGAATATACAGATGCAAATGGGGAGAAGCACTATGCAACTGGGTTGTTTCTCTGTAGACCGGCGGGCCAAGGGAAGTCGATGGTCCTCGTCCAGTTCGGTACCACCAAAGGTTTTAAACTGGCGAAATGGATACCCAAATGGTTCATACACAACCTCTCCTGCAAGATATTCGAACAGGACATGGGGTTTCTGTCATCGCAGAATGAAGTTCTGATGAAGGAAAAAGTTCCCACCAAAAAGCTGTACATAAACCTGAGGTCTTCCGATACATGGGTGCTCGAGTACCGGAAATGGATGGATAAAGTTGGGCATGGAATGCCTTACCATTTAGGGCACAGCACCATTTCTCTGCCCCAGGTTCCTGCTGTCGTGGAACAAGCGCCTGCTGGCTTTCTAGCTCGCGCATCTGCTTCTCCGCCGGCTAAGGGAGGGATCATGGAGATGCATGCTCCCAACCTGACGAGCCGATACTTCAGGCATGTCGTCCACTGCAAGGAATGCTTGGGCGCTTTCAGGACTTTCAATGCTGCGAGGAATGTGCTCTCTGGTGCAGCTGTTGCTCTGGTGGCGTTGGCTATTCTGGCGTCTCAACGGCAGTGGAAGGCCTTTCTGTTGGTATCGGCGGGACTATGTTTGGCTGGAGTGCACTTCACCTCCACAGTTATTGCTACCAAGACAACAAATTTCATTAGAGACCACAAGAGATAGTGATAGACTGATAGTGAGTTTTGTGTCAATGCCAACTTTTGAATTGAACATCAAGTTCGGTAATTCTCTGTCACATTTGATACAAAAATATATGAAACAAACAATGCCCTATTTAAAACTTGAGCCACTTCTTCTCCTTCTCTTTGCTAACCACGGCATTGGTAGCAGAAGCATGAGTAGCCTCGGCATCTTCCAAAGCTTTACGAGCTTCCTTTAACTTCCTCATGGCGGCATCATAGACCAACTTCTCCTTCTTGTTTCTACTGGCCATCTCCTCCAGCCTTTCTACACGATTTCTCAACTCCTTCACCTCATCTTCATAAGCTACCAGAGCTCGCCTGTCCACTTTCTTCTCGACCGAACTGGTCTTTTGCTGCTTCTTGGCCACCGACCCACCATTTGCAGCTAGTTGGTCATTGATGAAACTGAACACATCTGGTCGAGTTTCCTCATCTTCCTTTGCTGCTTTGGCTGCTCTAGCTGCCGCAGCAAACTTCTTATCACGTTTTCTCTTTCCACCTCTGCTTCGCTTTTTTGGCTGTTTTCCACCGCCGGCCTCCTCACGTTTCTGAGATTCTAGAGCATGTTCGAGTGATTGCTTGCCTGGATGGACCTTCACGGGGATTGGATTCACCATTCCCTGCCCAGATGCTCCTAAACCCATTCCTTCACGATACCCCATATTTGCCATCATCTTGGAAGCTATGCCCCTGGTGTGATTCTCCCACTTGGCAAACATGGTGGTCTCCGTTTGGATGCCTCTTTGTTGGTTGGTGCTTCCAAGAAATCCTATAGCGTCAGGGCTTTCTCCTTCTTCATAATCACTTGAATCGGATTGTTCTGCACCAGTATCATCACTTTCTTCTTCTTCGCTAACTATTGCATACTCAGATAGGGATATAGCTTCAGGGTAAAGCTTAGCAGAGCTCCCATCATTGTGAAAAACAACTTTGCCTGACCCGACTTCATCATCCCAAGATTCAAGCTCGGCTTTCCTCCAAATGCCGGTATTTTTGTCAGGCATTGCCAGAATGCTGGACCCCACGAGTGACTGATCCCAGACTGTAGGAACATACTCTTTCAAGGAAGATAACGGCACATCAACCCCTGCATTCACAAACATAGATCAATTTAAGGATTCTGTATACGGTAGCCTACAAAATGGAATTGCATTCAGTAGATTATGGTGCATGTCATAAGTTGGAGGCTAAATCAGGAACTAGCCCACCAAAATTAACAAAAGGTTTCAAGGAGAACATTGGATCACAGCATCCATCATTTTCAGAACAATGGTGCAGGGGACGGCAGGAGAGAGCGACAAGAAAGTCACGTAATTAAAACCTTGGTGCCAAAGTTACTCTCTCAAGACAAATTCTACAATCCGGAGAAGAGAACATCTCTTTTTGCAAGAAACAGTAACAGAGTACTGTATCTTCATTCTCTAAAAACTGTCACTAGGTATGTCTGTCTCGCCAAGTTCAATGCTGTGAAAACAGAAGATATAGAAAAAACCCCCTAAACTAAATAAAAGGATCCACTGGTCCATAGACCAGCAATGTAAAAAATGCAACATACCATGTGACATGCGGCAACTAGTACCAAATCGACATCGTTCTTGAAGGAAAAACTTGCACATCTGCACTTGTGGTTGGTCTACCATTAGTATCATGACTACACAAACCATCAGCTTTCACTACAGGATGCAGCTAATATAACTTCAGTATGCACAGGACTTATTCACTCAAATAATTCAGAGACATACATGAAGACGAACAGCATTAGAAAGAATGCTCCTATTAGCATCAAACTTCAAAAGAAGAATAAGATTACGAAGAAACCTAGAAGGATGTACTCACCACCATGTTATCCGAAGTAGGGGTGAGAAAAGATATCTTGGCAGCGTCAGAACCTTCAAACCCAATAATCCGACCGTTATACCACCGTCCATCACTGAAACGGAATCTACAATTGGACCCAATTGAAAACTCTTTCTGTTCTTCTTCCTCCAATGGTTCCGCTCCATCATCCGTACTAGAGTCAATGTCAATACGCTCTACTTTGACATTCTCCGCGGACCCATTGGAGCTCTGAAGTGCAGCTGCCACATCCAATTCTTTCAACAACCGTGCACGTTTCAGGTGAAGGAGCCCATCCTCCGCATCTTTGATCGACTGTACTAGCTCCTCCTGAACCTGATCAAACCCCAAATGCAGAAACCAACTCAAAATCCATACAAGAAGGGAACAATAGCAAAACACAGGCCAATTTTATCCGCCTGAAACTCCACATGAAACCCTAAAAAGATCGGCTTGATTCGGATTCTGCGATCGAAATATGAAGAGAGGGTATGATGAAGGAGAAGACACTTACAGAGAGAAGTTCGGAATTGGAAGGATCAGAAGCAAGTGCGTCGTTGAGAGCGGTGAGGGAATCTCTCAGCTCCTGTAACTGTTCTTCAAGCTCATTCTCCAGAGCCTTTTCTTCTTCGCTCGCCATCTTCCCCCTTCCTTCTTCTTCCACTCTCTCTGTTTCGCTGACTAATGTTAACGAAACCGCATATAGTTAAAGATCAGCTTCCAAACGCTGTCGTTTCAGGTGCAGAGGAGAGGAGATATATTTGGAGGCTGATCTCCACCGTCAATATGACGTCTTGAGAAAGCAACGGTGGCGATGCGGCTTCTCCAAAATCATAACACCAGTGTGATCGGCGGGTAAATGTATATCAAATACGTCATTTCAAATTCCCAATTTCGAGAAAGGACCTCCGAACGGAAACCCTAGATTGAGGCAAGGGGGAAAGAAATGGGACGTGATCATCATCGTAATCAAGCGGCCGACGGTCTGGTGCTTCTGTTGATGAAAGCTCACCATGATCTCGCAGCGGTTCAGTCCAAGCTCGAGAAGGAATTTCAACAGACTTACCCAGACAATGTAAGTGGCCTGCCTTCCGAGGATTTCCTTTCTTATGGCAGAATCTTGCACCCTTTCATTTCTGCTTGAGTTTCATACTTCGTCTGTAGTAAATCTTAATCTATTTGCGAGGAATGAGAGAAAAAGCTAGCAACTCGTTTTGTAACTCGGTCCAGTGTGTTGGAAATTTGGAAGGATAATTGTGTGCCTGTATTTCTGACTGCAGGCAAATCCTGTAAAGCTGGTTAATAGGATAAAGAAGATACAGGAGGAGGTTTCAGGGCTAAAGGAGCAGTGCGGCGAGCTTCTTGCTGCAAAACAGGTGACTTGCTCTACTTCATCCTGTCAATTGGGATTTCCCCACCATAAGCGAAGCCACCAAAATGCTAGCGCATTGGAGACTAGTAATGATGGTGCACTTACTGAGTAGTAAGCTTTAGTCTTCCACTGCACATTAGTAACTATGAAGCATACTAGTAGATTGTGGTTGCATGGAAATTATAGCTGTTTGATCTGATCCTGAGGCCGACGACCAACTGTGCGTGCTTTGAATTGCATCTCGATTTAGATTAGGAAACCCCGGAGATGATCAAAACCTAATAAATGCCATATTGCATAGCATGTTTTCTTCTTCTTCTGAATTTAGTGGTGTTGCAATGTCAGCTTTGTTCATAGCTGGTCCTATTCTCTTTGATGCTGTGGCTAGTTTCCCAGTTGCGAATATGGTTGGTTCTTCGGGCTATTTCTGCAGGAGTTGGTTGATAAAGCACGCACGGTTCTTTTGGGGAACAACAATGTAATACAAAGGATGCAAGTATCAACTGGCATTTCTCCAACTACTGTTGATGAGGATCCTGCATTTGCTGACTTCAATCAGGTATATTGTGCGAAAAGTCCCAACATTCTTCCACAGCAAAATCAAATAAAAAGAACTGAAACATGGATTGTGTGGCCTACGACTAGAGGTAGTGATTTAAAAGGTTGGATATTTCCAAGTGGCGTGTGAAGTGTTTGCACCATTTGCCAGCAGGCAACCAACATTGAACAATCGTTGAGGCTTTACACCAGCGACAAGTACCCTGGCAGAGATGCTTTTTGGGTAGCTTGTCTTTCAGTTTGAAATGACCTACAGGACTGAATCATGGCCAACTTTTTGTTTGCTGGTTCTGGATTCTTTTTCATTGTCCAGTCTCTTCTGACTTCTCTTCAGTCATGTGTAGCTTTGTTATGTAAATTGTTGATGCATTTTATAATGTTATGCAGGTCATTGATGAGTGGAGTACACAAGTCCGATCAGGAACTGGTAAGAATTTTGAAGTTCATCCCATCTCATTTTGAAGTCCTTCCATTAGAAATGGTGGACAACCTTATAAATAAAAAAAAATTGGTTGACAAGCTTAGAGAATTCTCTAGTTAGAAAAGATCAGCGATGTTTAGTTGTAATCCCCCCATTGAGCTCTACGTGGAAAACCTGTGTGGAGATTTTCTTCTGAAATGTTGTGCTGCTGTACATTTCAAAGTCCACGAGGCCACAACTTCAGGTGGTTTGGCCAATAATCATATTGGTCGTAGTAATCGTCTTTGTTTTCTGAAGCTAGAAGCCATTTCCTGTTGTTGATGTAGGAAACGATGGAGATGATTCTGAAGGCCAGGACATAAACCAATTGCTCTTCTCTACCATTGTGCAAAGCAACGACTAAGTACAGACGTCGGTAGCAAAGACCTGGGCAGCCGAAGATGGGATTTCCCAGAACCTATCTAAAATTGTAGTATCCAAAGTTTGATTTGGTGGTACAGTCAGTATTTACGTCAGAGTTGTATTAACAATGCCTCCTGTTACAGTTAAAAGTGGATTATGAAATGCAAATCAATTTGTGCTAATACAAACTTGATCCCCAGGCTGGCTCTTTGCATAGTAAGGTCCTTGAATACATTTTCTTGGCTAGCTAAAACAGCAAATGAGCTAACTCGAAGAGTTGCCAAGTTAAACATTTGTTCAGTGTCATCGAGCATTCCTGAAAGACGTGCCCTTTCTAGTTCTTTCGCATAAGCCAACAAGTCAATCGATTCTGCTGCGTAGGTTATTAGGTCTACCTCGCCCTATGTAAGTGCAAGGAGCCTTGAAAGAACATGTCATCATGAATAACCCTAGACCAGACATCAAACTTGCAGGCACCACTACACACTGGACATAGGGCTAGCAGAAAGCTTCTGGGACGAAATTTCATCCGCTGCACCTTCCAATCCGATAGAGTACCAGGAAACGAATAGGCATTGAAATCGAATGATGAATGCATTGTATATAAATGAGCCAGGATTACAGATCCAAATATACAATTCCACCGTGTGGTCTGACCATTTTTCTATAATGGGTGTTAAGTAAATTAGTGTAGAGACGACCACTGATACGATCTGAAGCCTTCCTTACGTACCGAGGATTGCATCAAACACAATGTAGTCTGCAAGGGCAAATCAAGAGGCTAATTCACTCAATCGCATACAGAACAGAACGGTGAAGCTTTTGTGTCTTGTCGTGCTGCAGCTGCTATGATCAACCGTTGCTTGGGTGGGGGATCGGAGGCTCCCCTAACCACTTGGCACGAAACCCAGTTCCCTTACAGTCCCGGCATCGCATGGATCCCTGGAAAAAAGATTCAGATGGTTCACAAACTGATTCGTTAGTATTCGGGCAGCTCGAGTCACTCTGCAGGTATATTATACAATTAAAGGGCTCCTGACAGAACAAGAAAGTTCTCACATTTCCAGCACAAATAACACAGCCGGTATTTCTGGACGGGACTTGGCACAGCATGTTATCCCCAAGAATGAAGAAACCAGTTCCTCGACACCATTGGCATTCCACATGGCCATTTGAGTCGCATGACGAACAGGCCACAGGTCTCGGTTGCTGTCAATTGCCGAGATCAACCCAGTCAGTTGGAATTTGAAACATCGATGAGAGAAAAGCCGAAGACTATACCCAATCCGTTACAGAAATGATTCCGCGAATTCGAATACGAAAACCTAATTTGTATGCAATTCGGGCGAAATTCAGGAGCTTGCTTTACCTTAGAGATCAACCAAGCCTGCTCCATGCGCTTGATGAAATCAGGAGAGCTACCGTATGAATCCACAGCAGCGGAAGCCCTGACTCTGAAAACACTAGATGGAACCTTCCCGGGTCGCAGTAGGCTGACCGGCGATCTGTGGATGAATGAAGAAGAGGTGGAGCTCATGGTGTTCGGCGATTTAGCCGCAGTCGCCGGCAGCATGGTGCTACTACCGCAGCAGAAGCAACTAGTCATGTCTTCTCCGATCGCGTGAAATGAAATCCAAAGAAATTTCCGTAGAAATGTTGGAATAATCGACGCCAATGTATTTGCAGAGAGTTCTGTCCTGTACTCCTGTTTTTCTTGTGGCGCAAAATTTAACAGCTTTTAGCCTTTATGGGCTTTCTTTCTTTGGGCCTTGGAGGCCGTTTGAACCGTTGATTCCCACACAGAAATTTCTTGAAATTATAATTTCATTCTATTTCGAGTAAATACACATTTTTAATTAGAGCTCTATCAAAATTCTCTGATGGTCCTGTCCCTGATTTTATCATTAGACCTTAAATTTGTCCCTTTACATTTGGTACCGTTTGATACAAAATAAATCGAGAATTCATTTCATTGTAAAATGAATTACTGTGTAGAATTCATTTTCAAATGAAATCTTGTGTTTGGTATGTCATATTCAAATCTTTAGAAATAAAATGAATTTCCGTGTAGAATTCGTTGTCAAACGAATTCATGCGTTTGGTATGTCAGATATATAAGTAATTTACTTGATAAAAGAGGATAATTATATCATTATGTTATAATTAGTAAATACCTATGGAATTCATTTGAAATTTTCTATCTCAATTTCTCAGAATTGCTATAACTAGTTCCAATTCCATAGAATTTAAAATTTAGAATTGAAAATGAATTCTGTTAAATACCAATCACAAAAATGTTTCATTCCAACATGAATTCCTCAAAACTTACGGAATTTATTTATACCAAACGGTATGTTTAAAGGATTTTGGTACTCGTCAACGGAAGAAGCAACAATGTATTTAAAGGATTTTCGTACTCAACTTTTTGAGGATGAAGTGCCACATATATTTAAAAGGATTTTGTTACCCACTTTTTTACCAAGCGAGGTCCTAACACCACTCTCCTCAAAGGTTACCTCTACCACTTTATTTACTTATATTTTGGTATTGATCGGTATTTCGGTATATAACGATTTTCATTCCGTTTCCTAATATCAAATAACGCTTGAAATTCAATCACAATCCCAAATATTGACAAAAACATATATTCGGTACTACTAAATATTGACAAATATCGGTAGGGTATTCGATATATCCCAAATATCGATTATAGAATTATAGGACTCAGTTGACGCCATTTGTCACCTAGCATAGGAAAACAATCGACTCCTGCATCTCTTCTGCTGCATGCATGTTATCATCATCACCCTGCAGCATGATGTCGATGTTCTTATTAATTCCCTTCTCTAACCTCCATGGTTACGTTCTTCAGTCTCTGCCTTCCCATCTACAGGTTGTTGTTTCCCTTTCTTGTACGCACTCTTCCTTTCCCCCTTACATTATTCCCTTCCTTCTTGTTCCACTTTGGCACAAAGCTCATGGCTGCTTTCTTGGCAGTACAATAAACTTCAAACCCTAATCGACAAAAAAGAGAAAAAGGTCATCATCATCTTCCAACTCTCTCCATTTTTCATTGCTCTCACGCTTCAACACTTGGACCTAACTTCCATTTGACCTCTTCATCATCATCACCAAGTCAAAACCCAATGCCTGGTCTTTCTTGTATTCAACTCTTTTGATTAGCTGCAAAATGTTCGAGCTTTTGTCACCATCCAAAAGTCACAAACCCTAACCCTACCCCACTCCCAATTTTCCCTTTTGTCTCATTGCTAATCGGTTTTATAACTATTGTATACCAGTCAAATGGGGAAGTTGGGGGAGAAGAAGACTACATTCTGGTTTCTGGATCCATCGTCATTTGTCTCTTCGACAGGAGACGCAACATAGCACAAATGTTTCCTCTAGAAAGGTTGACTCCCGCTGCTAAACAAACTCTAGGGGCATGAACATCAACAGTTGGGTCACTCTACTTTTTTGGGGTTACCTGCAAATCAGTCACTAAACTTTTTTTTTTTAATGTTTGATAAAGTTGCTTCTCTATTGATTATTTGATTCGTGCCGGCGTGCTGGAAGCGATCGAATGTATTCCATGTCGGGGTTTGATCTTTCTGGAGGAAGTCTGTATCCTTTATACGATTTTTCTCGTTTCGATCGTGTTGTTATGTTCTTTAGAGGATTCAAAGAGCTGTCCATCTAGTAACAATACAAGCTCTTTGACCGATAGGTCGTTTGTCTATGAACTATCATTTACGTTGCTAATTAATTAACGTCTTGTAAATTATTCCTCTTTGTATTTGGGGTGGAAAACGTTATGACCCGAATGTGGAGTTACTGACCTATTACAGTCGTTTAGCTTGTCTTTATTAGGAATCATATTCAAAAGTCTTTGTATAGGGACTTTGTTATTGTGTTCATAGGCAATAGCACCATATGTTAGAACGTGAGCACCATAGCAAAATTGTTCATATCGATTTTTACAATTCAATCAAAGTAAAAATGAAACCAATTAAACGTAGATATTTACTAGCCGACGTGGAATATCCATTTCAAATCATACTTGGTACAAACCAAACTTGTTGCATAAATCTATCGTAACTCGAGTTGCTCGAACCACTTAATCTTTTTCTTTCTCTCCCTGATTGATAGCTAATTAGGAGATATGAAAGACTTTTCTCCATTATTAATTTAAGTAATTTTACCAAACCAATACGCTTATATGGACAATACATAGTAAAACATGTCTTACGAAGATAAGTGAAGTAACTGTTGTACTAGTTATGCCCGATTTCCACGAAAATTTTGTAAGAACCAAAACTTAAAGATTAATTTGTTAACAATTGCGAAATTGAATGAGTCTTTATCTAATTAACCAAAAAAAAAAAAATAGAAATTCAAACAACAAAAAAAATTCCTCTTGACTCCAAGGACCACCCAATGTTTGTACCCCCATTAGCACATCACAACAACCATTGGAATCATCTCCAAAGACCAATCCTTCTCTTCTCCATTATCGCCCTCTTCTTCTCACCCTTTCCCCTCCTCCTTATTATATAACTCTCTCAACCTCTCTCCACCTGAAGAAGAACACATCAATCCGCCTTCTCCTTCCTCTCATTCGTTCTTTTGTTCATTCATTTTTTTTTGTAAACACTCTTACTAGCTAAGAGTGTTTAAGTTTAGGGTCATATTAGCCATGGAAACAGAGAGCCGGCGCCATGTCAACGCCGCAGCATTACCCCCGACGTCGCCGGTTTCTTCCACCACGTTCGTCCAAGCCGACGCGGCGACCTTCCGGGACCTCGTCCAGAGGCTCACCGGATTATCCCCTGATTCCGAGATCAGGCTGCCGGTCACTCTGCCTTCCAGAATTCACGCTCCTAAACAGGGGAATTACAACAACAACAACAACAGCAACAACAGCAACAACGGCAATCATCCGCCGGTCAATTCGCCCCGCCGGTCGCCGTACAAGCTCCAGGAACGCCGGCACACGATCAGGAAGCTGGAGATCAAGCTGAGCCGGGCGTCTCTCCGGAACAATAATTCCTCCGGCGCGAGCCCCTGTTCCTCACCCTGCCTCGTGGAGTCTCCGATTGCCAGCCCCGTCACGCCGCTGATGGGCTCCGGCGCGGGGGAATCGCCCTTCTTTTCCAGCACCGAGACGTCCCCTTCGACGCCTTGCTCCGAGGAGGAGAGGGCGATTGCGGAGAAGAGGTTTTATCTCCATCCGTCTCCGTTGAGCACGCCGCGCGGGAGCGAGCCGCCGGAGCTGCTTCCCCTGTTTCCCCTGAGTTCTCCGACGACGCTGAGGATTTGAATTGGATTTGAAGCATTGGGGAGAATATTTAATTGAATTGGGTTCGCTGGGCGGCAGCGATTCCAATGTGTGGATAACTGATCCGGCGAGCGGCGGGGTTGATAATCGTTATGGCCGGCGGAATATTTGTCTGGCCGGCCGGCTGACACGGAAAGGAAAAGATGCGTTGGGGATTCTAATCCGGCGAATGGTTAAATGGGTAAATTTGGTGGTTAGTGTAGGTTTTAAGATGGATTAATTAATTAGTTTAACGCCTCATAAATTGTAATTTCGTATTTAATATTAATTTACATATGTTAATACGTTTGTCTAATTAATATAAAATTTAATTTGAAAGAAGCATTTGGTTGATTGTGGAAATTGCTAAATAAAAAAATGCAGTTCATATTTTTTTTTATGAATAAATTCAGTTAATTTCCCAACACCAAAAAATCGGTAATCATTTTTTATCCTTCATTGTCCCATACTCCCATTTGGTTTTTGTATAACCGGAGACAAAATTATTATATTAATAAACAACACGTAATACCACCCGTTTACATAAGTTTTACGTAACAACATTTTACAACTATTACATAAGATAACGTATAGATTAAAAGGTTATGGAGATTTCTTATGTGATAGTCTAACAAATGGAGGGGCTAGGTTGCAACTATAAGGGGTTATAGTCCCCATCAACTTTGAAATATAGTTTAAATTACATGTAAAATTCTCTAACAGATTTAGAGAATAGTGTAGTCTCCAAGGCATTAGCCCCTTCTCCAATTACCACGATTCAAATCAATCCTTCTCATTCATATTTATGGATTTACCACTAAGTCTAACATCGAGTTGCATAAGCATTTCATAATGTTATTACACCCTACATAACTCGATGTCAACGTTAATTACGTAAAAATGATATTTTCACACTACTTTACAATTATTACGTAAGTTATTAGTGATGACAAACGGGTAGGGCGGGACGAGTATCTCCATACTCATTCTTGCCCGGCATCAAGCGCGGTGGGTACAAGACGGAGCTAGCTTTGTGAATTTTAAATTTTAATAGAATCAGAGAATCACAATGTTGACACCATGTGTACAATTGCAGAATTTATTGATAGCAATCCTGTAATGATCTGAAAGATCTGAAACAATACAATCTAAATGTAAATGAGAAATTAAGAAAATATGAAGTTTTACTTACCCAAATCTCCTTTTGGTCCCAAGCACAAAGTGTGTGGGCATATGATGTGAGTTGCTTAATTGCTAGCCCGGCCCAAAAACCCTCAACTTACTGGACCAAGGCCCATTCATACTCTCTTATCTCTAGGCTCCCGTTTTTGCTGGAAGTTTCCAGTCCATTGATAATGCTTCGTCTATGGTGACGGACAACAACCTTATCGTTGCTAAAAACATATTTTTCATCACCATTTATTTATTTATCAGATTAGTCGTTGTGTTGTCACTCTAATGCTATGATGATATGTACCAACAAAAAGATCAACGTGCCACATTGCTAACAACACGGACACAACAAGATTATCGTGACAAAGATAGTACGAAATGTCTAGATGCGTTAAGAAATCTCGTCGTCACAAAACAAATCACTAAATTTTGTATAGGAAGGAAATCGATGAAAGCACGTGAATTACTGTAAATTTGAACCATTCAGTCCAACCAGCGGCGGATCAAGGGGGGGCCGCCCTCGGTCCACGGGCCAGCCCTCCCCGGATCCGGAGCTAGTATAACTCTTGTAATTAATTTTCGATTTTAGGTATTTGTTTATGTTCTCGTCGGGTTACGGCCTAGTCCTCTCCATCTCTTTTCAAATGTGGTCCAGTACTCTACCCTATTCTGTATCCGCCGCTGAGTGCAAGATCTTCAGGAATAGGGAAGAGAATCAGAATGAAGAAGTGAGAACAAAAGCAGCGGGGAACCATTTGGGGAGGATCGAGTATTTGGCTTTCCCAAGGAGAAAATAAACCCCATAGCAAGGGACGTGCACCAGAGCCAAGCAGAAGTACCATAATGGCGCCCATGGCGTACTCAGCTCGAAGAACGGGTACGGCCACCTGCAGAATTCCAGCATAGGAAATCAACACAAACATATTTCTTGCTTTGGGGTTATTTTGAATACATCATTCAACAGAATGCTGGATAAATGGTTACTTACCATGAAAGACCACAGGCGTGAAGAACCCACTGGAAAACAATGTAGATGCAACTCCACTGCACAAAATACGCTACTCGAAACCATGGAAACGGCTGGTGGTCACGAATCGACGATCACCAACGAAGTGCATAGATAGTTAGAAACCAAAGAATGAACAAAACCCAGAGTTGGTATTTGTATTTGGATCAGAACTCAGAAGCAGAGGCTTACAAGGCTGTTGAGAGCTGTATCAATGATCAGGAAGACAAGATTCACAGAGTGCATGAGCCCAGTCAACTGCAGAAAAGTACCCAATAGTGTGACTAAAATCATGTTGCATCTTTGAGATTAAAAAAAAAAGAAGAAGAAGGATGGATGGATTGGATTGGATTGTAGCTTACAAACCATGGTCAATTGAAAATGTTGGTTGGATTCAAATGGCAGGATAAGACACCAGAACACAACATCAGTCAAGATTACAGCTCCTGCACAAGTCTGAATCCGAAAACCTTTTCTCAGGCGAATTCAGAAGTACTCTTGCAACTATAATCCCAACTTAGTACTACACCTGATAAATGGTCTGCATAAGACATCCCATGAATCCTGCTGATCTCCCTTGCTCATCAGCAGAATGATGCTGATGATGATGATGACTGTGAGTTTCGATATCGATGATGGTATCGTTAACGACACCTTTCCCTTTCTCCTTCCTCTTCTGCTGCAGCACAGCCCTTTCGTAGGCCTCGTCGCAATCTCCATTGCCAGCTGGTGATTGCTGCTTGTTGTTGTATCCCCAACAACAACAACAACAACAACAACAACCATATGCAGACATTGCAGTTGCCAACTGTTCACATGTCAAAATGAAGAGATCAGCATCATTGTATTGTATAGTATAAGGTGGACAGTTTCAGTAAAAAATTGTTCCTAACATACCGCAAAGTAAACAATCTCTAGCGCGAATGTCCACCTGCAGAAAAAAAAAATTCAGCACCAAACTCAGGATGCAGAGTTTTCGAGCAGGGTAAATGATCGAAAATGTACCGAAACAACCAAACTGAGGAAGTTTAAATGATACAAGGAGGAACAATGCTCACTCAGTGTAGTAAAGGAATATGGAAGCAGTCCAATCAAGGATATCCCAGACCAAAATTGCAGCCATGGCCACAAGGGAAATGCAACGAGTGGCAAGTAACCAGCCAGGGTGCACACCTTTCCAGCAGCAACTCCATAGATTGGTTATCATAAATTTGTTGTCGCGGGCTCGATCCACTCCTTCGAGGAGACTCTCGTAGTAATCCGAATCGAATTCATTGGCCTGGTGGAAATCTGGAGATGGTGATGATGGTGAATCTGTTGTGGGAATTCCTTCCTTTGTCCATAGAGTCCACAGTGATCCCATGAAAGCAGCAGGAACAATCCCAAAACACACGAAATCGTACCACTGCACCACTAGTGCCATCAATGTGCTTTTGTGTACCCAGTTGTGGATGTTATAAATGAGTAAAATGCTGTTTTTGGATTGAAGGTATGGAGGGATCGGATTTGCAGTTGTGGTTTTGAAGAGGAAATTTGTGCCTGCTTGCAGGTTGGTTGAACTTGAAGGTGATATAGTACATTAGTACTGTCTGGCTTTTGACTGGTTGTTCTTGCTTCATTTCTAGAATTTTGACTGTTCGGTTCATAGGAAGTAGGTGGAATCGGTTTTGGTTTCCTTGATTAGAACTTGAAGGATGAATGTCAACCAAGGTTGTCAACCCGCGGGTTGACCCACGGGTCGACCCAATTTGACCCTGACCCGGTAAGAAAAACGGGCCGCACGCACCCGCCGGGCCGATCGCTATAAGGTACCGGGTTGGAAGTCAAATTGTGTCATTTTTTTCTTTAGTTTGCGAAATGCGCCTATTTTCCAATTTTTCTTTTCGCCTAACTCAATCTTTGAAATACTAAGTTGAACATTTAAATATTTATGTTATATAAGCGTGTGTGAATTTTCACTATATGTTGGATCTAAGTACGATATGTTATTTTGGTGTAATATTATATGTTATAACTCATATGTTAGATAAGATTTGATATAATTTAGGAGGATAAGTACAATACAATGACTCTTTCTATATTTCCGGGCCAAACCGGGCTAAAACGGTTGACCCATTAACCCTTGACTCACTAGCTCGACCGGGTCCGGGTCAACCCGCAGGTTGACAACCTTGATCAGTGTCATGTCATCATCGATGTGGACCAATCAAAAATCGCGGCACCGGCCCGGTGCCGCCATTTTTACTGCGGCACTGTAGTATCGGCCCAGTTTATAATAAACGAAGTGATTAAGGGTTTATGTTGGGCTGGGTAGGATTCTCTCTAAAGCCCAAGGCCCATAAAGACCCTAGGCCCAAAAGGCCCACTCAGACGAGCCTGCAGCCACTCAAACGGCGCGAGGCGTGGTGAGAGTGGGACCACGAGACCCTGAGCGTGGAACAGAGGGTATGGCTGATGGGACGAGCAAGGACAATCATGCGACAGCTGACAGGAACATTAAATGCGGCCGCAAGCATAATCTCGGGATCATCCACAAAGTACAAGCGCGGAAGAGAACCAAGAGAGAGAGGAACCAACATCCACTATAAATACAACAGGGACACACATTTATTGGTAACTAACCTACCCACATTCTCTCTCTATATTCTCTCTCTTCAACTCTGACTTAATCTTTGGAGAGTGTCCGAGGCAAACGCCTCCGGACCCCTTCTGCAGGAACGAAGTCCCCACCATCCGAAGGGAAGGCGTGATTCCAGCTTAATCAGTCTCCAACCTGCCTGGTACATCCTAGGCTTAAACAGTTTATTTATGGGTGCGAGATCTGATTACATTTAAGATTTTAAGTGATCAAATAATATTACTCAATTGTATACGACATAAGAGAATATTGAAAGAATCTGAAAATGAATGTTGTACTTAGAGCAAAGAATTAAAAAAGACAATAAAAAAAAGGAACAAACAACCATATCAAGCAAGTGAAGCACGTAAAAATAGTAAACCCAATGTACAAACATTGGAAAAGAGATTCAACAAATCAACACCAAAGCCATCTATTTATTGGTAAACTGGGTACACATGGAAGATAACTCTGAAGAAAAGTATATTCTTATTTATTTATTAGGAATTCACAGCAGCATCATAAAGTTTCCGCAAAAATTCAAAAAAATTACTCAGGATTCAACAATGGTCACAATTACACAGCCATTATCAGCAAAATCTAATTGGGAACTACAAATTTATATTGTGAGTACATTTTCTCATGCACAAAACAAAACTATACACTTATAATGAAATGAAGACAATGACAATTATTACCTCACGCTTGCTATGTTACATCAAAGCGGCTATAGTTCACCGTTCTATTGGCATCAAATTAGAACGAAAGACGACGAAGTATGTGAAATACAGGGAAATGTAACAAAAACAAAACAGTTCAGGCATGCAGTGATGGAGGGTAGAACCAAAAGAACTTATCTTTCTGCGCAATGAGAATTCCATTTTTTAATCTGGTAGTAAGTTTCAGCAACGGAGAAAAGAGAGATAGAAAGAGAACGAAAGATGCAGAAAATCATTTCTAGTGTTACTGATACCTTCACATTTTCACTTCATGAATTCTCCAGAAGTGTCGTCGCTGCAACAGCAAATGTCGCCGCCTCCACTTCGATCGGTTCCCCGACTGTTCAAGTAATTGTCCCAAAATTTCACTTATGCCTTGTGCTTCTTTCGGTTGGCTATTGATTTGTTCGGGTTACCTTTTGCTTGTGGTGGATTCCACAATTCTCCATTTGTTGACTTGCTTTTGGTTGTACTGTGTGCTTCTTTGACCAATCCTTCAACTTGAGCGTCTCCTGATGTTCACTTGGAAAAGTGTTGATGGTGAGAAAAAAGACATGGATAGTGGGAGTGGATACGACCATACGGGATTGGAAGTTTTCCTTAGTCAGAGCGGAAAAAGACGAAAGTATGGGAAATACAGGGGAACGGAAACACAATTTTCTCAGAAATTGAGGGAAATCAGGACTCGAATGAAATCCATGCCGATTTCTGGAACCACCATATGGAATTGACATGAAATATTCATGTAACCGATGGTCCACACAACGGCGAGAAATTGATTCCACTCCTAAAATAGAGGTGGAAATCGGTACGGTATCGGTATCCCAATACCAAATACCGAAATCCCGAATATCGAATTACACCCTAAAATCAATCCCAATTCCTAAATAATTTCGGTATCCCAATCGGTACCTCGGTATCCCAATCGGTATTATCGAATACATAATTAATTACCTTTACAATTAATAATTTTGGTATCCCAATCGGTACCTCAAGATCCCAATCGATATTATCGAATACATAATTAATTACCTTTACAATTAATAATTAAATATATAAATTAAATTTTATTGTTTAATTTAGGGCAAAGAGACTAAGCAAATATTCTTGAGTTGCCTAGAACTAACATCTCAAATTCTTGTAATTGGTAATCTTTAATTTGACGAATTTGAGGTTGAGAGACGACTAATACTAGTGTGAAATAGTGATGTAATGATCTATGTATAATTAAATGATGAATTTGGTGGTTGATGGTCGCGTAGTAGTGAATGAGAGAGTCTAGTTGAGAGGATTAAATACACACTAGCTTATATTTCGATATTGATCGGTATTTCGGTATATACCAAGCTCAATCCGTAATCCCTAATACCAAATAACAATTGAAATTCAATCCCAATCTCAATCCCATAATCAGTCACGTTTTGCTATTTAGGTCATGATTTAATCGAAGTTTGGGGCATAATATTATACCCTAACATCTAATGGGTGAAACCCAATCTCTAATTTTTGAACCCAAATCAAGAGATTCATTTAATCTTAAAATAATAACCAATGATTTGATTCATCGAAATATATCAAAGTACAAATAATAGTTGTGAACGCAAGCATATAGCATACACCGGCGTACGCTAGCTTTTTCATATATATGAGAGATCATGTACTATACTTCAATTATTGGTGTTTGCAATCGGACTGATTATCCCTGCCCAATTCATTAAAGTCCAAATTCAATTTGTGTCATAAAGTAATATGTATGAAAATATATAGGTCAAACTGTACAATAATGTTTTTTTGACAAAGAACTGTACCATAATGTTAAATGTACACGATCCGCTTGCATTATAAATGAATTTGCATGAAAAAGTACAAAAATAAATTGAATTTGACTATAACTAAGGATATAAGTTCAATTTGTGCATAAAATATTTTTGGTGCATATGAAAGCACCAACCAGATGAAGCATTGTAAAATTCATCTATATATATTTATTCAAATTATTATTATTAGCAGTTCTATTTTATTGTATCCATTTA